CCCTGGGACTGCTCTATTTAGTGGCTGTAGATAGTGAGTAATTGAAGTGTCTTGGAGCAAAAGAGATTGTCACTGGAATTTCTGCTATATGGCATGAGATGATCAGTTTCAGCAGAAAGTCACATTGTTTCATGAAGTTTTGGAGTATGTCAACTGATGAACATACTGAGATTAGATGGATGGGTTTAGCAGCCCCTATGTGTGCACACTTAGCTCTGTTCGCTTGAAGTTTGGCAGTGGCTTGTCAAGGGCAAAATAAAATCTAGTGTTATTGTTCAAACAATTACTAGTACTGGTATAAAAAAAAATAAGCAAAAAGAAAGTGCAGATTTCTAGCTTCTACTACTCTTTTCTTCCCTAATTTTTTGAACCCAAATTGATACTTTTCTGTTGATAATTATTCTCTTTTACAAATAGGGCTTTTAAATGTGAATCCTGAAATGTTATTTTAGATGAATGCTAAACACAACACACCTCCAGGAGGTTAACTGAGTGCCAGAAATGTTGTGTAGGGATTGGATTCTGCTTCAGAAAGGACAGGTGGAATTGATCTGTATTTGTTTTCCCCTTCCCTGTTTTACTTTTCAATTTGGATGGTCTCACTTACCAGCGTGTTTCAAGAGTGTTGTCCCTGAGCACCACCATTGATTGGAAGCAGAACATTTTGTTTCAAAATGCACGTGGAGACTTAGTAAAAGAGAGCAACAAAGACTGAGAGTTGGTGGGTGATTAATATCCCAGTGACATATATTAACTGAGTTTGCTGTTTTTGAAGTAGATTGCTCTACATTCTTCTACAAACAGGTGTCACCTTTTGTAACAGTCTGAGAGGAGAACCACGGAAGGGGCTGCGTATGGCTTTGGGATTTGTGACAGTGATGTCAGTGTTATGGGAAACCCCAGAAGAAAACAGTGAAACTACAGTATTTAGTATCTCACTTCATAGCACAATTACATTTTTCTGGCTTTTTAATTTTTCCTTTTAGTTCTTTGAAGGCGCTGCAAAGTTTCAATCATTTTACACCTTGATCTTTTTTTTTTTTTTTTGTTCTCCTATCAACTAATAAATAGTTAAATTTTTAGGTAGAAGAGGATAATTACCATGTTTCCAGTTGAAATATTGTAGAGCCCCAAGGCCCTGTCTTTGACAAATGTATTTTTCAGCAGCTCATTGTAATTTTGGTTTTGAGTGAAGAGCCAGCAATGTTAGAATCCACACCCATGCGCAGCAAAGGGTGGATTTCCAGCCTTTAACAATAGCTTTACTGAGTTGTGTTTTAATGACGTTTTTCTTTGGACTTGCAAGCTGCAAATGTTTCTGTAGTGAGGGGTATGTCCTGAGGACCGTGCGGTGGTTTCGGACAGTTTCATGTGCCCTCCAAGCTGACAAGAGAAAACCCAATGCTGTGGATGATGATTATGCAAGATGGGAAAGCACTGATAGACTGTAGAAAAATACAAGTCTGGGCCTAACCACATTGCAAACCTGTTTGAAAAAGCAGCTTGGAGTAGTTGACCTAGTGCTTTATGTGGGTGATCCATATTAGCAAAGATGTTTGTCATGATAGGGTGAGCAGCAAGGGGAGGGGAGGGGAGGGAAAGGGGAAGGAAAGGGAAGGGAAGGGAAGGGAAGGGAAGGGAAGGGAAGGGAAGGGAAGGGTTCCCTCTGATCAAGGGTACTGCTGGGCTTGTAGGGAGCAGGAGACAGCTTGGTGTGCTTTAGGTAACTATCTGATAACATCAAAGCCTACTTCTACTGCAAAAAAAGAGAGCATGAGGAGGAAGAGGCTCTACCTTCCATAGGAAGGCAGAAGTGCTAGCATTGGGCTGTGATGGTAAACTTATCCACCCGATCTTCAGCACTGCTTAAGGCTTTGCTGCACCCCTGCCTCCATCTCATCTGTGACAGTACATCTTTACTAGCTGTTTGACCTCATTTGCTTCAGCTGTTTTCAGAAGTGGGATGGTTTATAAGAGGATAGTTGGATGATTTCCCTGTATAGTACACTTACAAGATTTTATGTAGTTTTTAGTAATCGAAGTAAAGTTTCAGGTAACTGATCAAAGAAAGGAAAGCCCAAACATTCCAGCTTCAGGTCATGGTTGAGTAGACTTTTGCTGACATCAGCCATTATTAATTACACCAGCTAAATTACAAAGATGTTATCGCAGCTCTGGGAACCAAGCATACTGTAATTACAAGGGCTGTTGGGTTCCCCATTCTGCATCCTTTCTTTTGGCTTTAACCATCAAGGCTCCAACTCAAAAGTGAACGGATTTACGTAGAGCCTTCAGGGTTGTTGTGAAAGCAGTGTGCAATGAAAATGCATCCGTCTGATGACAGATGCAGTGTCCTGCACTGTTGTGTGTTGCACCAAATACAGGCTGGTGCACTTACTGGGGTGACGGACCCTTTCCAAAATCTCAATGTCTTTCTTGTACTGAGGGCTCCACACCTGGACACAGTACTCCAGATGGGGCCTCACAAGAGCCGAGTAGAGAGGGACAATCACCTCCCTGTCCCTGCTGACCACCCCTCTCCTGATGGAGCCCAGGATCCCATTTGCCTTTCGAGCTGCCAGAGCGCACTGCTGGCTCATGTTCAGTCTCTCGTCCATCAGGACCCCCAGGTCCTTCTCTGCCGAGCTGCTCTCAAGGACCGCTCCTCCCAGCCTGTACAGGTGCCTGGGGTTCTTCCGGCCTAAATGCAAAACCTTGCACTTTGCCATGTTGAACCTCATCAGGTTCACCTGAGCCCAGCCCTCCAGCCTGCTAGGCAGGGAGGTTGGAACTACATGATCCTTGAGGTCCTTTCCAACCCGGGTGATTCTGTGATATAACAGCGTCTTGCCTATGAGTGGTGGATGCTTGGCTGGCATTAGTATTGCTTCTTGCTGTGATCAGCATACCTGCAAGAGCATTACTGCTTATCTTCCAGCCACCAAAATACTGTACAGCTCTGTGGATCTCAGGATGGCTTTTTAAACCTTTTAAAACCTAGCAACAGATAGCACCCTTGAAAATGCAAACTGCAGTGGCCACAGCCTCCATCAGCACATGAAAGATGTACAGCCCGGGATGTATTTAAGAGGAAGCCACAGCAATCAGTGCATTCAGATGCGTGCTTCCACCTTTGTCATTCAGCACATGTCCCAGTTCAGGAGGGCACTTACATATTTCCATATTGCCCGATTGCCCGACTGAAGTCAATGGGACTGGCTGATAGCAGTAAAACTGCTTGCAATTGAAATGAGATGCGTTTTTTAGACACTGCTGAACTGGGGCCTGCGACGGCTGAGGGTGGCAAATGCTCAGCAATGTAACATTTCTGTTCTTTATGAAGATAAAGAATTCACTCCCCCACCCCCGCTGGAAAAGTAACTATATCTGGAGTGCATATTGGGTAGCTTTTTAGGAATGAGAACTGAATGCCATCTTGCTGGCAGACAGAGAGTTGTAATAGCTCTGTGTTACAGGTTCTGATGTGAAATATATAGGGTCTGTTTCTAAAAGTTGAAAGCTGTCACATAGAAGCTGGCTGGCTGATTTAGCCAGCTGCAAGGAGACTCAGGTTGTGTTAGGAGCTTCCTTTTAGCTTCTACCTCTGTTTTCTATTAGATCAGCTTCCTCTTCAAAAATGTACAGGTAAAGGAAAATCTAGACAAAGATTGTAGCCTTCCTTGGAAACGTAGCTTCACCACTGAAATAGACCAGTGGCAATGCTTGGTGGTGCTGAGCCCTAGCAAGCACCAGTCCCTCACTGTCCCTGTCCTGCTACAGGGTACAGTTTGGGCCAGCAGAGCAAGGGTTCCTCAGGGCAACATCAGTCAGGCTCCTTAAATGTTGATGTGAGCAGCCAAGCTGGCTGCATCTGAGGTGATGCAGGAAAAATTCTCTCAAATGACCCTACTGGCAGGTTGGTGAGTACCATTGCTTGAAACAAGGCAGTAGGAAAAAGCAGCCGCAAGCAGTAACCATTCCTGCAGGTACACAATGTCCCTATTGCAGCTGATGTTCTGTGCAAGGTGTGCTGCTGGTGAAACTGTGCAAATTCCCTGAATTTTCTGAAAAATGTGTAACATCTGTATTTATGCATTAGTTAGCGTAGTTAGCTGTTGTGTTCAGCAGGACTGAGCTTTTCTTCATCCCATCTGGTATGATGTTCTGTTTTGGTTTGAGGAGAAAAACAATGTTGATAACACACCAATGTTCCTGGATGTTATTGAGTAGCACTGTACAGAGCCAAGGCCATTTTAGTTTTCTCTGTTTCTCCTCCTGTCCTGCCAGCAAGGGGCTGGTGGGCATAAGGAGCAGGGAGTGGCCAAAGGCATATTCTGTACCGCATGACAACTTGCAGAAGGAAAGTTTGAGAAAGGAGGAGTTCATTGGGTGGTCTTCTGCTGCTTGGCGACTGGCTGGGTATTGGGCTTGCAGATGATGTGTTGCACAGATCAGGAGGATCATGTGCTGTCTGGACAATGGTATTCTTTCAAACTTTCAGTTGATAGCAACTGTCTATTTTCTAAACATTTCTGATACCACTGGTGCTGTGAGTTGTAGATCTAAGTTGCATGTTGTGTAACAGCCAAGTGCAAAAGATTGCTCTGAGATCCTTTGCATTCCATCTCTGCATCATGGCTGTGATGATCCCACACACACCTTGCTGCCAACACCTTCCCCCATGCGGGACTGTAGGCATTGTTCCAAGGGTCACTTCAAGGTTTGTTTGCTCAGACTTTCAATGAGCCAGTGAGAAGAATGACATCATAGGTGCTGCCAACTTCACAATGGCAGAGTAGGCTGCGTAGCAACAGCAAGATCAATGAGCTGCATGAACTTGGACTTGTTCTCTAATGAAGATAAGTTATAAAAATGACGAGCCCATCTTCACCTGGCAACCAGCGGTAGGATACAGCTTGAAGAAATAATAATTTTCTTTTGAATTATGTTTTGTCTTTTGACCCATGTTTTCTTCCTTTGTTGTGTTGTTTTTTCCCCAGCTGGGATGACAGCAGCTCTGTCAGCAGTGGAATCAGTGACACCATAGATAATCTCAGCACTGATGACATTAATACCAGCTCCTCTATCAGCTCTTACGCCAACACACCTGCCTCCTCCCGTAAAAACTTAGATGCACAGGTAAAGTAAAAGAGTAACACTGATATTTATTATTTTCTCATACAATCAATATTATTGTCTTAAGTTGGATGAACTCTTATTCATGCCTTCACAGATACTATTTCCTGACAGAACAACAATTAAATGCATGAATATTTTTCCGTTAAACAGTAACCTTGTTCTAATTTGCAGCTGTCTTTACAGCCTTTCAGCGATGCAGACTGAAAAACTTGGAAACTGATTGAGAAAAACATTAAGAATGCCAAGAAATATTGTTGTTTTGACTGATGCTAAGCACCATACTTCACCAAAACTAAGCTCCAGATTCGTAAATTAGTCCATGCTAATATTTTTTATGTGTCTTTACCACCTTCCCCTTTCCCATGTACTTGACAACTGAACGCATGCACAGCCCTCAATGCAGTGGGTGTTGCTGAAAAGGAAATGTCAGGCAGCAGCAACCATCATATGTGGCATTTATGAATGTTTCCTCTGTGTGTGTTATCCATGGAATATCTGCTGTGGTGTTATGGCAACAAATTTTTTTTCCTTCGTAACAGGACTGCTGTATATAAAACATGCATTAGTAGATGGGATTTTTCTTCCTAGAAAAGGATGTTACGTTTTTTTCAAAGAATAGAATTTGAGTAAGTCAGCGTGAAGGTTAAAGATTATTTGCACTCCCATCGGAAATGTGCATGTACTAGGCAAATGAAATAAATTATTTGTAACTTCTGGGGCTGCACATTACTTCAGGCTTACTATTCCCAGCAGCATTTCATAGGAAGATAAATTTTGTGTCCATGAGCAACCTACATGTATATATGTCAAAGCTACTGCCCTGCAGTGACTCAGCACTGCAGCAGGTAGAGAAGGAAGGATAGACAACTTTCTCTTCTGTTTCTTTCTTCTTTTATTCTTCTTTCTTTTCGTAACTGGACCCTAAATTTGCTTTTAATACCTGTTCTAATGTAGAAGTGTGGTTGCTGTGAAGTCTTACTCTGCCTGCAGGACTGTGGTGCAAGCATATATTTACTCTTTGTTCCCTTGCCATAGTGCATATTTGAGCCTACATTAAAGATTCCCAGTTAGCCTCTGGTTGTGTATCAGTGATTTCATGTGTGCTCGAAACTGCTAATGCAAGTCCTGTACAAGTTGAGAGGAGTTAAGGTGTATCAAGCATGTTTTTCAGTATCTTAACAGAGGCAATAACGTAGGCAACTCAAATGTTTTTTTTGACAATTGTTAATATCTCAACATTGTAATACTGTCGGGAAGAAAAAAAGGAGGAAAAAGGAGACGTGATTAAATATTAAACTAAGAAAAAAAATAGAAACTCATTTGACTTGTATCTTCTGATGGATCAGATTCTTGGAAACACCTCTAAGAGATCAAAATCTGTGTTGTTGAGCTTCTCTTCCTCCTCCACAACTATCACAGCATCCAAAAGAATGCAGACCTATAGCATAGGCCAGAAGGAGATGAGCTGAAGCTTGTAAAGAGCGTAGCCATTAGAAGAGGGAACTGGGAGCCAAAATGTACGGGTTTGTTTACACTTCTTTGATTTATATCTGTTAACTGCTTCTCTCCTCAGTTTCCATGACTGAAACTGTTTATTCTAGGTACTACTAACTGCAGATTATTATCCATAAAATACTTTGTTTTCATTTAACTACAACAAAAAAAAATCCTGTTCTTGTCAGCCAGGAGTATGGAGATAACAGGGAGTGATGGAACCATGTGCATCTTGCAGGGCTGTTTTTTGTTGCCCAAAGTAGTCCTCACTGCTCATGACAATAACGACTGCTGCATATATGCTTTTTTTGCCTTGTCTTGAGTATGGTGACCTGTGCCAGGGTTTGCATTCCCTTGCTTGGTAAGCCACAAAGGACTGGTACACATCTGCACAGGGATGCAGACTTTTCTTCTCAGATGATCCATTGCTTTGGTTCTTGTAAATAGCAGGCACTTAACTTTTAAGCTACCGCATCTATTTGAGGTGGTACAGAAGTTGGGTTTCAGATAATTACAGAGGGAGTGGAAGCTAACACATGTGCAGCTGGGAGTTCAGACAAATAAGACAGCTCATCAAAGGGAGAGAGCCCTAACATGTCAGTGTCTACTGATAAAATCAGCAAGTTACTCTGCAATGAACAGGACATGCTCACAGTAGAAAAGAAAGTCTCTGCTAAGAAACTGATTTTCAGAACTGCTGAATACCTCCATCTGCAGAAGAAGATGTATTTTGTTCATCTCTGAGAACCAGGCCCTAGAAATGGCCATGACTTAATCTTTATAGACATTGATTATCATAGTCCCCTTTGGTAGCAGTAATGTGGAGGTGTTCTCAAGTTGATTCTGAACAAGCCAGGAAAGGGAACCAGAATTTACCTTACCATGGCACTATGTCTTGCTCTGGTTATCATAGAATCACAGAACAGTTTGGGTTGGAAGGGACCTTAGAGATCATCCAATTCAAAACCCCCTGCTATAGCAGGGACACCTCTCTCTAGACCAGGTTGCTCAAAGCCCCATCCAGCCTAGCCTTAAGTGCTTCCAGGGAGGGGGCATCCACAACCTCACTGTGCAGTCTGTTGTGGTGTTGGCTTATGCCAAACACTAACCCACTTAACATAGCTATACTGCTTTTGCAGCGCTGTAAATTTTTCCCAAGCATTGCAGAGACTTGATTGGTTTACCTTTTAATACAGCACTGCATAGAATGCCATTAAGGTCATATCATACATATATTGCAAAGAGAGATGAAGACATTGGTGGACATTTGAAAATAACTTATTTAACAAGATAGAAGGGGAGATTCAGTCGTAAACTTGTCCTCATAATCATACAGAGATCACAAGAAGGAAAGGAAGCAATTCCTTTAAATAGAAAACAGCAGCATCTTTAAACTGTTGGACCAAGATGACTTCCAGTTTCATTGGATCAAAGATGGATTTGATCTGTTTACAGCTTAGTGAATAGATTTATTGTGCTGCATGTCTTGCTGTGTCCTGCAGCAGAGTTTTCCACTTTCACCTAATCCAGGCCTTTCAGGTGGGTGGAGTTTCTGCTGAAACTGGAAGCCAGGTTTCACCATGTTTTGCCTTTGATTCCTTAGTCATGTTTCTGTGCTGTTCTCGTTGTTTACCATTAAGCAAACATCTCTGGCCAAGGAGCTCAGAGGGTAAACGTGCACGTTTCAAAAGCTGGGGAAAAGATCTTGGAAAAAAAAGTATGAGTGGGAGATGAAGTAGAACTGAAGAGAGTGGAGAGAGAGGACCTGCTGTAGTGCAGTTTACTGTGTTGAGATTGTACTGTTGTTACAGATGTGAAGCGGGGAAAAGGAAAGCACAAGAGCATTTCATAGTCAACCAAAGCTATAATAAAGCCTTTACTAGCAAGTAGGTGTATTTCCTGCTCTCAAATGTGTACAGCGTAAATACGCAATTCCAGGCAAGGTATTTGAAGTGAGGCATTAACAACAACATGTGAGGGATGATGTTGGGATTGTTTTGTTGGCTGATTGTTTGTTGTTTCTTGCCTATACTCTCTTCCAAGATGTGTGAGAATAGGGGATATTTTCATAAATGATGATTTTAGAGAAACTCCAGACACAGAAATACTCACATGTGTTACAAACCTACTGATGTTCATGCAGTGAAAGGTAGCCATCCCAAAGTGTTCCAACCATACAAAAAGGAGAAAGCTAGAAGGCAGTGTTTCTCTCTGTGCTATGTTAAGTGGCATTCTTTGAATTGAGTGTCCAGGAAATAAAATTTGAAAAACATGAAGAAAATGCAACAAGAAAAAAGTATCTAAATCAATACCTCAGCAAATGCTCATTAGGCTAATGGCTCAGTACCTAGATAAATGTAGATAAATAACCCACGTACTGAAAAAAAGACCACTCTGATGTATGGCGTCATCTTTCACACACTGATCACTTAGACTAGTTTTCTGGCTTTAAAAAAAAAGAAAAGCAGTGACAGTAAAACTCAGAAAAAATTAAACCATACCCCCCCTAATTTCTGTTATACCTATGATGTGATCTGGTAAGAAAAGGGAAGTAATGAAGTTGAAACATACCTTACAAACTTTAAAGTCCAGTATTTTGCTGTAAGCACGATACATTATCACGCATCCTTTCATATGCTGTGATTTTCTGCTTATTCAAAGAGAGGAAAAGATTATGAGCTTTATGATATTTTGTGGCATTGGAAACAATTTCAAGTATTATTACCCTTCTACTGCTGCACAGTGCTGAGTATCGTACTCAGCAACTTCCAAAAATTCACTGAGTCTTACTGGAGGACTTCATGATTAGATATTGAATTGGCAGGCTCTTTTGTGATCATTAAGGTTGGAAAAGGCCACTAAAGTAATCTAGTCCAATCACTAACCCATGATGTCATGCTTGGAGAGCATTATGACGTTTTTAACTGGAGCAGGTCATTTGTACCTGAGCACAAAAGTTGATTGTGGTATTCCTAAATTAATTACTAAATTAATCAACATCATTTGAGGAGTTCTAAAAGGATAATTTTAATAGTAATCGTTGCCAATAGGAAAAGCTAGTACAGAGCAAATATATTTCACATATGTGGTAATAGAATTCATTTAAGAGCTTCTGAGAATTTGGCAAAAGTTTGCACATGAGAAAATTCTCTGTTTGACATCTTTGCTAAATTCTCAATAGAAGACTGGCAGCACAGTCAGTCTGTTCAAAGAATAGGGAAAAAACAGTTTGTAAGAGCTGGTTGAAAAACTGATGTAATTTGTGTATTTGAGACAGACTTGAGTGTTGCTAGAAAGTTGGGAGGGATTCATTCTTCTTCTGTTCTTGGGTGTCTTCCTAGCATATTAACAGCATTCCACATCTTCAGATCTGTTCAAAAAGCTGCCTCATCATGCTCTGGAGATCAGATTGCCAGACAAGAGATAGAAAAGCAGCAGGAACAAAGGAAAGCTAGCTGCACAGGTTCAAAATGATTTTTTGGCATTGCATTGTAAAGGGTTCCTGAGAAATTTGAGAGGAGGATTATAAATGGCATAGGGCTGAATGTATCCTTTATAAACCAAGTTCTTTTTCCTAGTTCTTTATTTATTTATTTGTTCTAAAGGGAACAACTTGTGTGTTTTTGTATGTCTATCCCTACCGCATTAGAAAAGATATACCGTTGTTGGGGTTCTTTTCTTACTGTGACTTTTCCTATTCAGTGGCATGTTGCATTTATTGGTACTCAGAGATGAGTGCTGACTTTATTAATCGGTTTAATAATTCTCTTTTATGAAGCTGCTCAAAAGGAAGATGTGCTGTGAAGGTTCTATTATAATTCATTATCTGTCCTAGACTGATGCAGAAAAGCATTCCCAGGTCGAGCGGAATTCCTTATGGTCCAGCGATGAAGTCAAGAAATCAGATGGAGGATCCGACAGTGGCATAAAAATGGAGCAAGGATCCAAATGGAGGAGGAATCCATCTGATGTGTCTGATGAATCTGATAAAAGCACTTCTGGTAGGAAGAACGCTGTTATTTCGCAGACGGGTTCCTGGCGACGGGGCATGTCGGCTCAGGTTGGCATTACCACACCAAGGACTAAACCTTCAACCACCTCGGGCACATTAAAGACACCTGGAACAGGTGAGAAAGGTGTAAACAAGCCAAAGAAAAAAAAAAGGTGATCAGTAGGGAAACAGGCTGAATTCTTGATAGAAGTAGAACCTGAACTTCAGGTAATCCTGTCTTTTTATTTTTAGGTATTTTTTTCAACCTGTACAGCAACTTGTACGTCCACATTTCTGTTCCCGTTCATTTTAAAATGAATATTTTGTAGTTGTACGCTGAGAAAGTTGTTTTCAAGACAGCCCTGTTCTTAAGCCAAACTATTTTTTGGGCATAGTATTAACATATGAAGCATAAATAATGTAATTTTAGCTTTTGAAGTCACGATTAACTTTCAGAATATACAGTGTATGTGGTTGAGGAGAGATTTTTTTTGTTTTGTTTTGTTTTTCCAGTACTAAACCAGCATGCTAATTTATACTAAAACACCTTTTAGTTCTGGGCTTTCTCGTAAATTTAGAGTTGATTTTAGCACTTGCAGATGTGTGAATGAAAAATGAGTGAAGTTACATAAGCAAGTAATGTAAGTTAATGCCTCTTATTTGATTGTGTCCACACGAAAAAAGTTGAAGTCACTACTTATTTTCTTGAAAAATACATTTTAGGAAAATAATTGATTGCCTGACACAACTTATTTCTGATGATAAAAGGGGATCAGTCTGTAGTAGCTGCAGAGCGCTATATTTTTTTTCTAATCTGTCACTATTACATAAGTTTGTTCTGTTTTCCATGCTATCAAGGGCAAACACCCCATATACTTTCTCTGGCAAGTCTGCATGTATAACTCACTAGAGTGGCTTTTAAGTTCAGTGCAGACTAGATCATAGTTTTAACCACACTCTTGTGGTTAGCACGCTTTTGCTTTTCATGCTGCTTTGAGTTTCATCATTTGCTTGCTGTTTTCAAGTCATTAAATATTAGAATTCTTTTTCTATTTTTGTAGGGAAAACTGATGACGCCAAGGTATCAGAGAAGGGTAGACTATCTCCTAAGGCTGGACATGTTAAACGTTCCCCATCAGATGCAGGACGCAGCAGTGGTGATGAATCCAAAAAGCTTCCCACAAGTAACTCTAGAGCAACTGCTGCTAATGCTAATGCATTCGGATTTAAGAAACAGAGCGGGTCAGCCGTAGGCATGACCATAATTACTGCCAGTGGGGCAACTATCACCAGCAGATCAGCTACTCTGGGAAAAATTCCAAAGTCGTCCGGACTCATGGGTAGAACCGCTGGTCGGAAGACTAGTGTTGATGGCTCACAGAACCAGGATGATGGCTACTTAGCGCTCAGTGCTCGAACTAACCTTCAGTATCGTAGTTTACCCAGGCCCAGTAAATCAAGTAGCAGAAGTGGAGCTGGGAATAGATCTAGCACTAGTAGCATAGACTGCAACATAAGCAGCAAATCAGCTGGGTTGCCTGTCCCTAAAATGAGAGAGCCTGCCAAGGTAATTCTTGGAAGCTCTCTGCCAGGATTAGTCAATCAGACTGATAAAGAGAAAGGGATTTCGTCTGACAACGAAAGCGTGGCCTCATGTAATTCTGTTAAAGTGAACCCTGCATCACAGACTGCTTCTAGTGGAGCTCAAAGTACTCACCAGCAAGGAGCCAAGTACCCTGACGTGGCCTCTCCCACTTTGCGCAGGTAGGCAATAAATTCATTGATTGTGAAATGATGTTAGTTAGAGCTGAATGATCAAGGACTCTTTGAGCCAGGTCTGGCTGTATTTTGAGAAGCATTCAGTGTCCTACACAAAGGTCTTTGTACTTAATTTCACATAAGCAGTTTGACTAGTGTTGTAAATACACAGAATACTGTGAGACAAGAGTGTCGCCTTTGTTTCGGCGACTCTGGCTGAAGTCCCTTTGTGAAAGTGTTCCGACAGCCCCGACAGCCCGGGTCAGTTTCAAGGTTTCAGTGTCAGTGCTCAGTCAGTTTCAGTTTCAATGCTCAGGGAAACCTGACTGCCTTAAGCACCATGCACATCAGATTTGTTACATGCTGAAAGAGAAGGCCTAATGCTGTCAGGACTTCTAATGCATTTAAAGCGAGGAGTGATTTCAATCCCTGTTTCTCTGCACAATCTATCAGGTGTGTGATGCCTTTCGGATCAAGGGGTACCCCTTCTGGGCCTCTGTTATCGTTCCCCACTATCAGGAAGGTCTCTCGTGCTTTCCTTCCTCTAGGCTAGATCTAAACTTCCCACAATCTGTTAGTGCATCTCTCTTAACTCCTAAATGCAGATTCACCTCTCTCCTTTCGCTATCCTGTTCAGTCACAGCTGGAAGCTGCGGGCTCCGCACTGCTCCCACTGTGCCCATCTCCTTTTGATCAAGCACTGACTGTTGTAGAGGCTTCTGATTGGCTGTATACGCACTCAGTCTTGTCGAGTCAATGGGTCTGAACACTCCGGCAGAGAGTGGGTCCGGAGACTTTCGTTATTTCTTTCTCCATTGGGTGCAACCTGAGCAGAGGGTGCCGGCTGGACGCCACCTGCTCCTTCAGGCGTAGTCAGGGTGGACAGTGCTGGCCAGACACTATCATCCCAGCGCCTGTAAGTTACATCGCTTCCCTTTCTCTCTGCTGTTTTTTCTTTTACCGCCTCCCTAACTTTTGACCAATCCATACCTGAGCCTTGCCTGCAGTCCCCACCCCCCTGGGCGTAACTGCATCCCACCTCTCGAGAGGAGACAGCAAGTGTCCCATCCCAGCTCACTTCTCTCTAACGCCCCCACAGGTGGTGTTAGATTATGCAAAGACAGCGGTTGTCTTAGATACAGCGGGGGCGGGGGGGGGCGCGGTTCAACGACCTTGCATTCCTGCACTTGAGCCGTTTTGCAAGATTTCTGTGGACGCTATCAGCTCTCCTGGGCGAAGGCGTCTGAACTGGCCCTCAGGGGACCCTGTCATCCCTTCCCCATACCCTAACAACCATGTCAGATTAGTTACCTCTCCCTGTTTCCTACCATTTGCTGGGTGTCGTGGGTTATGTGTCGCTGCAGCGACTACAGCCCTGAGCTGTGCTGACCACTCTTCCTTCCATAACATACACTGCGCTGGCTCGAGTATCACCTGCATGAGGCCCTCTACGTCATATGGAAGCAAAGGCCCCGGAGCCATAATTGCCTCCAGTGCAGAGAGTGTAGCAGGCGACCGTAAACCCTTCTTCCCTATTGTCTCAGCAAGGCGAGTTACCGCCTTTGGATCTAAAGGAATCCAAACAGGTCCCCTGTCCCCTGATCTCTACAGGGAATGCCTTATAATCATCCAAAAGCTCTGCCATTCTCATCTCCTCCCTTACCCGGCCCCAATCGATAAATAAAGTCCCTCTCCCCAGATTAGCTGGGAATGTGGCCGTTTGGGAAGGCGGAACGGGTGGCGGGGGCAGAGCGGCAACCAACAATCGCTCGGCCCCTTCCCCTCCCCGTGTAGCTCCCCCTGATGAAAGCCACACAAAGAGGGGTACAGAAGAGGATACGGGGGTGGAGCCGTTGGGGATGATGGCGACTCTTCCTTCTTCTTTTCCGATGTTGACGTTTCTGGTGCAGTCGGTGCTTCCGGTGCCGTCTTGTCTTGGGGCAGATCCTTGAAGGGGTCGGAGTCTCCTGCCTGCGGTGACACCCCCCCCGCCCGGATCCAAACCCAACAGATCTCTGGCAAGGTTTTGAGCAGTCTTTTCTTCCCTCGCTGCCTTCAAAGCCCCCCGAATCAAACCCCAAAATTTAAGCACCGACGCCCCTTGGGACGACATAGCTCTCTGAGCGAGTGCTAATGTCAAAGAGTCCCACTTGCCGGAGTCATAAATTCCATAAGGAAAAGAGAGAAGTCCCTCCTTTTCAAGAAAAGAGAGGACTGCGGCCACCTCGTTCTTACAAGGGGCGGTTTTCCCGCAGTATGTTTTACAAGCTTGATATAGTACCTTAATGACGGATTCCATCGTCGCCCAGGGAAATCAGACCCTCCGCGACCTTCCATCAGCTGCCGTGGTGGGATAACTTCGCAGCGCTGCTCTTAGCCCCAGGGGATCAGCCCCTCCGGCTCTTCCGCCGCCTTACCACGGCAAGCTCCTGTGGCCGTCCCGCAGCCAGCTGTCACACTTTCACAAGTGAGACTTCCTCACACGGGGCACCATTTGTCGCCTTTGTTTCCGCGACTCTGGCTGAAGTCCCTTTGTGAAAGTGTTCCGACAGCCCCGGTCAGTTTCGCGCGCTTTTCACGACACCAATATGGTGAGCGGCAAAATGGCGTTGTTGCAAGGAGCACACCCTTAAAGCTTTCCACATGCCTTCGGGCTACTATAGTTACCTCTGACCAATGGACATGTGGCATGTCTTGTTTCCTCCTTATTTGGTCTAACCTGTTCTTCTCTCTTATCTTCAAGACATTTGTTGCTATGGTTTCCCGAGGGCCAAGGGGCCCCTGTGGACCCTGGCGACTGCCACAGCCCATTCAGTTGACTACACAAGAGCAGTAATTTAACATTTGGAAAAGAAGAGCAGCCTGTCTGGCAGAAGTACGGGCAATTGTGATATGAGTCTCTGTCTTAAGGATTGTGCCCGAAGGCATTATCTGTACTGATGTCACAGGAAGAAATATTTTCTTGTGTGAAGGTTACTGAAGAATTCTTGCATTAGTGTGTATGTAGCAGACCTGGATGTGCTCCTGCGGTGGTTCAAATCACAAATTGACAATGGAAGAGTTGTTTCAAATGTTCATTGTGATGGTACAGTCTGACCTACCATGTTTAAACTCACGTGCCTAACCCCAGTGTTTTGTAAGACTCATAACAGCAGGTTATTCAAGTACAAAGAAGCCTAAGAGAAATGCCTGTCTAAGCTGGGTTGAAATTTCTTATCTCAGGAGTATTTTTGAACAGCTATCTTACTTGTCTTGTGATTCTCCACCACTGTCCCACACAATATTTAACATGAATATTGAGTTGGGCAGGCAGGAATTAATTTCTTGATGTAGTGTGCATCACAGTCTTGATATTAGTGAAAGGTTCCATTTATTTTATATTATTTTTCAATTTAGTTTGACATTGAGTAGCTTGTCTGTTTCAAGTGGCAGTGTTTTGCATTTCATTTTGTCTTGACACCATAATGCCCATACAGTTACGCTACATCATCCTGCTTGCAGTGATGTGATAAAGCTGCATTCCATCTGAAGCACCAGTGCAAGCATAATGGCTGTGATGGCAGCTTAGGCTAAAGCTCTATAGAGTTGTAAGCTGTTTCTTTTTAGGCGAGTGGTTTTATTTGAAGAGCCTTTGCGAGGCTAATTCAAGATACTTCATTCATTTTATTCCCGGTTATCATTAGATAAGCCGTGTCTTTTGGAACGTTTAATCTTCATCAGACTCCTTAAAATGAAAAACTCAAATGGACCTTCCATTTCTAAGGCATGCCAAGTGGCAAGTGCAGATTTTCAGTGTTGCATGCCTCCAGGCACATAAATCTGGAAATTTGATTGATTTTTTGATTGCTGATTTTTTTTTTTATTAATAGAAAGCCATGTTGCTAGCCATGTAATTGAAGCGCTGCATCAGAAATACGTACAACTTCAGAGAGAAGACGCTGAGCCTGAATTTCACCATTCCATCTTTTGATCTAGAATTTCATTCTTGAATTTTTACCAGGCTGTCTAAATAGAGACATATGGTCAGAGTTGGATTTGACCTCTTGAATTTGTTACTGATTTCTAGAATGGCAGCTGAGAAGACTTTGAGCTTTATTTTCACATTCAGTTAAGATGGGTTGCATGCAGTTTTTCCTGTATATTTTCTTAGCCTTGAAATTTTTAAAATATTCCACAGAATCTGCAGAATGGTTGAGCTTACAGTAAATTAGAAGCCATATCTTTGCCTGAAAGTCTGCAAATGCATATAACTGTTGTAAACAGTGAAATTCTGTAATTTTGCTGTGGGACCTTCCCTGTGTCTATTCTCTGAATATTCTCTTTAGCTGAAGTATTACATATCCAGCATTTCTACTAAATGAAGCTGTTTTCTATCATGATATATTTTACTGGTTGAGTGTTTGTGCACTGCACATATAATACCTTGCTTTTCTGTTAATGGGAGACATGCACGACCGAAGAGCCAGCTTGAATTTATCAGTTGTTTGTCAGTAATAGAAGGAAGGAGAAAACAGATGGCTGTTCTTGCAGTGTATTTCCTTCCAGAATTAATCCCTGGGTTGATGTGACTATCTTGCTGGGATGGATGTTTTCTGTCCCAAAAGGAATGCTCTTCAGACCACAACCTCTTGTTCTGAGGCTGTGGTTCAGCACTGCACTACCTTTGGCAGCAAAGTGTTCCTGTTCGTGCCACAGCGCTTTGTCCTTTCAGTTGCAGCAGAGGTGCTGTGAAACAGCTTGGGAAAGATTGCTTAGTTTAAAAACGGGTTGTAAAATTGGTGTGTGGGTGATGGAGTTTTTTTGAAGCTCCAGGATCTTATCCCTAAGTCTCCGATTGCCTGTGTAACTAAAGAGGTGGTGTGCAATGGCACACAAGCAGGAATACCCTGAGCTGCTGTTGTTACTGAAGGGCATGTAGTATTGCAGTATGATTTGACATTTTTCTTCATAGCCACTCCAATAGCATTAATTCTAAATGAAACCTAGACTCTTAAACATCTCTCAATCCCTGTAAAAATGGTGTTTATTGTTTGGAGGCTTGTGCTTGTCTAAGTCAGCCTGTCCTAAACATTAAGGTATGACATGGGGTCTAGGTAAGCCAACTTTGCCAGATCTGTGCAGGTTTGTGAATGCCTGCATTCTCTAAGTCAGGTGCTGAGTGCTCCTGGCACTGATATTGGAGCAATGCTGGACAAAGATAATTAGAAATGTGCATCTCAGCCTGGTCCAGTAGTGCTTTGCTGCAAGTATGCAGCAGCAATGATCCAGTGAAGGCATTCCACACATTGCACAGTTGTGCTGAAGCCTAAGATAGCACATGCATATAGTAGGTACAGTGGTTCTTGGCATCACTGGGTTTACTACAAGCGCTGTAGAGGGCCTAGCTAAGTTACGCAGCTTGAGTTTCTGGGAAGGGTTGGATAGGCTGAACAGTGTGCATGTGGTGTGTAGATGACCTGAGCATACTCAAAAGCAGAGAAAGTTCTGCTCAGAGCACACACATCCATACAAATTTAGGAGCTCTTAGCTAGAAATGCTGTAGTCCTCTTCTCTGAGGACGTCCAGTAGACACCCGCTTTGTAAGATTTCATCCCCAGTACGACACGCTGTTGATAGGGAAATAGAAAGTCCATATAGATATGGGTGAGCAGAGCTAATGTTCTAAAGCAGTTAAAAGAGCTAAAAGGCAGAAGTAGAATAGTGTTCTAGAAAGGATGTTTTCTTGGCAAGAGGTGCAGTTGTAGCATGGGCATCAGTGAAACTGGAAAAGCTGCAGTCATCCTCCTCCAACCATGCTTTTATACCCTATCCCTTGCACTGGTGGACACTCAGCTGATCTTCTCCCGAACCAGTTCCAGGTGCCAAACAAGGAACAGTCTCATTCTGCACTCCAGAAGGATAGTTTCTAGCCAGTTTAGCTACTGAAATGAACCTACATTTGATGTCAGTAAATATCTTCACTGTTACGTCCCTGCACACGATGCTGGGTCTGTGCAAAGCAGTCAGTGATTTGCAAAGAACTTCACTGGACAATAAGCTTTCAACCTGTGCTATTTGGTGTTTTGGAGTAATCAGTGAGGTGTTTCTCTGGTATCTTTCCCTTAAGGAGAAGACAATAGTACAGCTATATTTCAGTCGTTTAAGGCAACATTTTAGCTTTGAGAAAGTATTATTCTATGATTCAGTGCAGAAACACCAAGGATGGATTTGAAACTGTAGTAATTGTCTCTGGACTCGAGCATAGGTGGGCTGAGCATAAGGGGATTCAGAAATTTGTAGTTTTGAATATGTAATCTATTATCATTTATTTAATGTTGATTTTCTGAACCTAAGATATAAGATAGTTTAAGATATAAAATATCTTTGCATTTAATATTCCATGTTATGTATTTTTCATACTATCTTTTTTTTTGCAGACTTTTTGGTGGAAAGCCTAGTAAGCAAGTTCCCATCACAACAGCAGAAAATATGAAAAATTCAGTAGTTATCTCCAATCCTCATGCTACTATGAACCAGCAGGGTAATCTTGATTCACCATCTGGCAGTGGTATACTAAGCAGTGGGGGCAGCAGTCCTCTCTATAGTAAAAACACAGATTTGAACCAGTCTCCACTAGCTTCTAGTCCCAGTTCTGCACATTCAGCTCCTTCCAACAGTTTAACTTGGGGCACCAACGCAAGTAGCTCTTCAGCTGTTAGCAAGGATGGCATTGGCTATCAGTCTGTCAGCAGTCTTCATACCAGCTGTGAATCCATTGATATCTCTCTGAGCAGTGGAGGTGGGCTGAGCCATAACTCCTCCGGGAGTTTGATTCCAGCCTCTAAAGATGATTCTCTGACTCCCTTTGTCCGAACCAACAGCGTTAAGACCACACTGTCTGAAAGGTTAGTAGTTATTTTCTCTCATTTCCATATACTCGTACGGATTTCAGTGTGAGTGAGGTTCTGTCAGCAGCAGGCAGGAGTTTAGCTGCAGTTCAAGTTCTGCTTCTTGCAACATGGTGTTGAATGAGATTACTAGAACAAACTAAGTAACCATTCTAGGAAAGGAGCGCAGTTCAGAGCAAGTGGATATGTTCAGGTGAGATTTTTCATTTGCTATGGTAATATGACAACTTTTCTTGTTACCGTATTATACTTAGAATATGAATTTTGCATCACATATCCTTTCTGAGTTACTTGATCTGTTGGTGGTGTTCAAAAAAACCTCCAGCATTATGACAGTTTTAATATGAGAAGCTATTTCTTCTTGTTTAGCTTCTTGCTTATAGCATTTGATAAAGGTGGAATCTGGGCTACCAGTGCTTGTGTGTTGTGATGATGGCAACAGTTTATGAAAAGATGTGATTTGACAAGCTTTTAGATTGGAGCTCATGCTGAAAAGTCCCTGTCTTTGTGGTCACTTGATCCCTTCTCTGCCTCTCCCTCCTGCCCTCTATCCCATATCCAGCTGCCCTCTGCATTCTTCTGGTGGAGGTGTTTGTGTGAATGCATTAAACAAATCAGCTGGGATTTGGATCCAATTGGAAAATGGTCACTTAAATTGTATTTCAGGCTGATTGGTTTCCTAGCTGTCATCAGTAGCTGGTAGGAGTGGGGAGCAGGCTGATCAGGGAGGAGGGAATATGCTTCTCCAGCATGTTGAGCTAGCATCTGGATAAGACAGAGACTTGCAGGGCGTGCTCTATTGTAGAAGGTGGTACCCCACAAGTGTTGGAAATAAGCTACATCCTGATGTCTAATTATGCAGTCAAGTGACACAATTTTTGCATTTGCATCTTAATGCCGAAGTTACTGCTGAATTTAATGTTCTGATGGTTTGGGTTTCTGTTTATATTTTATTGTAATTCCTTTCTGTTCTCTCCTCTTTTTCATTCTAATATTTTTCTGTCTTACTGGACTGATTCTTCTAGCCCTCTTTCTTCCCCTGCTGCTAGTCCCAAATTCTGCAGAAATACTTTGCCCAGGAGACAGGACAGGTAATGCTGTCTCAGGACAGTAGAATGCACAAGGCTGTAGGTTTTGTTGCCCATCTTGGTGACGCAAATTGTTTTGTGAAAGATGTGCTCAGTCGAGTCCTCTGCTGTGTTCATTGTTCAGCTGTGAACTGACACAAAGACATGCCAGTGAGAGTGCACTCAAACACCCCATTTATCTACCTAAATCTGAATTATGGCATATGGCAGAGATGGCATGTTCTTCTCATTGCTCTTGATACTGGGAACATCTTTTGATTTGGGTTTGGTTTGGTTTTTTTCTGAACATTTGCTCATTTCTTTGCCAATTTTTGTTCTGTCATTCGAAACTCTCACTAGCATTTCAGCATCCTTCTGGCATGCTGCTTTTCTCACTGCGTTTCAGGCTTGTCACTTATGTCGTGAAGTCCCAGTGTCATTCAGTGTTGTCAGTCCTTTATTGCAGTTTGCTACATGAGTGTTTTGTGGGGGCTTGGGTTCAACCATCCTTCTAAAAATGAATGTAAAAAAGATGACCTGAATTGAAATGTTTCAGTTTGCTGATGGAATTTAAGCTGAGATTAGTACACTTAAACAGCTCGATCCTGTTAGTCCCATAGCACACAGCTGAAGAGTGCCATCAGGCTGCATTCCCAACGTGTATTGCTGAGCAGAGTGGCAGGAAGGTGGTTCTGGCCAGCAGATTCTCCTCAGTTTTCAGAAACAGCCTGTCGAAATGGGGATTTTTAAGCGTATGCTTGACACACAGTATTTTTACGTTCATTGTGGACGGGAGAAATGACAGAATCACTCTGTGAGCAGATGAGTTTCATTAGCATGGTGTCAGCTGCATGCCTGTGAAAAACCACACCTGGAGAAGGAGGTTTTTGCATGTTCCTGTAGGAAGGCCCCAGCACTTTTTTCCTCTGAAGAGGTGATGCAGATGTTTGCACTCCCTTCTTCGCTCTGACCTTAACCCTTCCCTATGTCCTTCTCTGAATTTCTTCTCTTTTAACTTTTCTGCAGCGACCCACATCTTGATAGGAACACTTTGCCTAAGAAGGGACTCAGGTATCGGTGTTTCCACACAGTTTAACAGCTTTTGTGGTGGCTTTGGAGTTTGCCTTGTGTTTCTGTTGTGGCTGGTGGTGATGGTCGCAGTGCTTGCAAGAGGTGGCAACAATCTTTCTTCCTTTTCTTCTTTTCTTTCTTTTTTTCCTTTAATTCATAAAGGAGGTCATTTTCTACTGTGCTTTTTCTTTCTTTTTTTTTCATCCTTGTCTGCTTAAGCAAGAGTTGTGGCTTTTGCTGGAAAGCACCTCATCAGCCTTCACTGGGCTTGCTTTGGAAGCAATGATTTTGCTGCTTTTGTTGCTCTTACGTGCAGTGACATGAGATTATGTTCACCCCAGTGTCCTTGGTGTTTGTACAAAAGCAGAAAATATTTTCAGTATCATCCTAAACCTTTTAGGATGGATATGGACCTACTCACTTTACAGAAGATATTTTCTTCTGAATCCTTAAGCACACAGGCATCTCAGAGATCATTTCTACTTATCTAGAAAAGAATTCCCAAAGAAACCTCTAGCAACTGCCTTCTAATACATCTTGTCCCTCTCTAAGACTGTGATTTTTATGATGTACAACGTTGCATGGACATTTTTTTTTATTCCATCCATACAAGTGAGACTGCCAACATGAGTTCTTCTAATTAAACACTTAGTGTTACAGCATTTATGGGAGATATCAAGCAGTTTAGGAAATCTGTCACGTCAGAACTGCTTAATGCAGCTTGCAGGATCTCTGAGTTGATGCCTTGAAATGGCAGCTGCAGTTAGTTCTGTGCTCTGTGCATCGTTCTTCACAGCAGCTTTGTCCCATGAAGCTGAGTGCTAAAAGGCTTTCTTAATCTGGAATTTTGTTTAGAATGTTTGTGTGGTGGTCGAGTGTGTCTCTAATATGTGAATACTCTCTCTTAAGACTGAGGCATTTGAGTGCTGAAGAGGTTGGTAGCAATCATGCAGAAACCTCCCATTCTTAATAAACTGATATATGTGTCAGGTTTACCTTCAGAAAAGGCTCAGTGTAGTCTCCATGTTGATTATTTAATTATTTAAATTATTTAATTTCATTTTGAACCAGATGAGATGCACTTCCCGTTAATGTCTCTTAAATTATTGGGTTCCCAACTTGTTTAAAAATCTGATAATGACTTTCTTGACTTGGATTGTAGTATGACAGAAATCCAGCTAATCTTAGCACCAACATATTAAAATAAGGATAAAATAAGGATTAAAATGAGGTTTTGGCATATCCTAAGGAAAGGAAGGGTTTTCCAAGCTATGTCTTTGTTTTCCAGTCATACCTATATAACACATACTGCACTTGATTCTGCAGTACTACAGTACACAATTTCTACTGGTATCTTTTTGTTAACTGCTAGTTGGTTATTGCTGAGGCTGTAGGAAAGGAGAAATCTTTACATTTTATATGCAAGTTTTTCCATCTTTCGTTCCCTCTCTCCCTCCTCAAGCTTTGTGACATTTCATGGTTTGTTTGTTCGTTTGTTCTTCTTTCTTCATTCAATAGTTGCCAGGGTTCATTTTGAAAGAGCCTGTTTGCTTTGTGCAGGTATACTCCTTCCTCCCAGCTTCGTAGCCAGGAAGATGCAAAAGAATGGCTACGGTCGCATTCAGCAGGGGGGCTCCAGGACACTGCTGGCAATTCTCCATTTTCATCAGGATCCAGCATAACATCGCCTTCTGGAACTAGATTTAACTTCTCCCAGCTTGGTGAATAACAAATGTTTTTTGATAATCATAGCAATACTTTGTGTGCTTAGAAAATAGCAGATGACATAGTGTAATGGTACTGCAGCAGCTCCAAGTACTACTTTGAACCTTCAGGAAGCACTTTTGTTGAAATTAGTGTGACTAATCAGCATTGGTGTCTTGCGTGCCCAAAGGTGGCACAGTTGCAGTAACATCTGAAAGTATTTCCCTTGGAGTCATCGGATGCCTTAATCTAAATTGAGAGCTATTAAGCAAAGCTATTAATTAATATCACACGTTGCTGTGTTTGAAAGAATGAAAATGTTGCCTGCCTGCTTACTAATGTTTTAAAGGCCAAGCATATCACTTGGTATCTCTCTGTCTGTATCAGCTGGCTGATTTGAAAATTTAGCAAAACTGGGTCTGAAATAATGGGCAAAAGCAGGGGAATTATAACTCAGAAAAATTCTTTAACTTAATTACACTGATAAAAGTAAATGAAGGAAACAACAGAAGGAGCTTAATATGATCCATGGTAGGTTTTAGTTGACCACCCCTGTGTCTGAAATAAACTGTTAGCATGCTAGAATATCTGGAAACAGGCAGTCGTAGGACACCCAGAGAAAATTACGAGTTGAACAGCAATTCTGTTGTTTTCATTTTTCCAAAAATTATTGTTAAATAACGGGAATAATTTATCACAAAAAGTGCTTTAAAAAATGTGAAAACTGGAATGGAAGTTTTATACTCTAAGCACTGGCTGGGAGAGCATTGGCTCTCAAGGCAAAATTGATGTTTCTGTGGTATCTTTTAATCTGCAAGTTCTGCAAGAATTCATGCCTGTGTGCTGCTTAGAATTCTTAGGACCTCGTAGGGGAAATAAACTGTTCCGAAATAAACAACTATTGGGAACCTAAGGGTCTTAAATTTTCCAGCTTCCTCTAAGTACACATAAAAATACCATTCTCTGGGAACCTGAATACTTCTAAGGAGATCCTTCGTGAGGCCTGTTCTGTGTAAGCAAAATATTAGTTTAAATTCGCCTGGGCATTTTACACCTTTTTGAGGAAGGGCTGTTTCAAATTAAATGAGAATTAATTCATGAGTATGAGGTGTTACTGAGTTGACTGAGTTTGCCTGAAGAAGCATGGACTTATCACCCAGTGTTTAGAATGACCTTATTTACTTGAATTTTCTTACTTATTAGCTTGATTTGCATGCCTCTTACTTGAATCCACTGAAATTAGAAACATAATGAAGTCTAGAGTGGGTGACATGAAAAATTTGTGTCTCAAAATAAAGAAATGTTTTCTGATAGCTGCGCCAACATTGAGCGTGAAAATTTGTGGTCACACAAATAAGTTGTCATTTTATCTGTGCTTTACAGCAAGCCCAACCACTGCAGCCCAGATGAGCCTGTCAAATCCAACCATGCTGCGGACTCACAGCCTTTCCAATGCAGATGGTCCCTATGACCCTTACAGTGACACCCGCTTCAGAAACAGCTCCATGTCCCTGGATGAGAAGAGCAGAACTATGAGCCGCTCTGGCTCATTCCGTGATGGCTTCGAAGAAGGTCAGTGCAGTATGTGGCGGTGGAAATGAGCAGAAGATGGCATTCTCACCTAAACCAAATGTAAATGTAAATGTAAATTGGGGGTTGGACTCGATGATCTCAGGAGGTCCCTTCCAACCCCTACAATTCTGTGATTCTGTGATTCTGTAAATTTAGTGCTTCATTTCAGCATGTGGGTCACTTCAGAGCAGTTTTCTACGTAGCATTCTCTGATTCTGTTTGTCTTTGTTCCAGTGATACTTAGTGATCCTTCTGGCTGAACGTAGGATGGCATATAAGTATTCTGCACATATAAGTGCAGAAATTGTTTAAACACATCCTGTACTTAATTTTTAGTGATCTTCTCTCAATATTTTAAATTCATGTTTGGAGTTAGCCAGTTAAACTGTTTTTTTGAATAGGCATATCCATCTGAGCCTAGGCCTCCATACTTCTGTTTGTAGAATAAATAATTGACATTGGTCAGACTGTTGTTGCTCTTCCATCTAACTTCCAAGTATTTGATCTGTAAGGGGTTTGTCTTTCCTTGGTATTTCTGCTGAATGCTGTGGATTCATATCTGCACAGCATTCACGAGAGAAACCTGAATAGTTCTTCAAAACGTGGACTTTTTTTTCTTCCTCATCCTCATTTCAGGCATATTTTCATGCATATTTGATAAAAGAAACTCAAGTAAGTACAGGAATAAAATGTCATTTACTTGTAAATGAGTATTTTATTTGATTTCTACTGATCATGTGTCCTTGTGGCTGTTTGAAGACCAAATAGCCTACTCAAGCTCTGAGTACACACCAAAAGCCCCATATGGCTGCATGCCACAAAACATCACCGTGCACTTTGAGAAGTCATAGGAAGCTGACAGGATTAGCTTTTCCAGTCTTAAATTTCTTTTCTGGTAAGGACTGGGAATTTGGTTGAGTAACAGGTGCTTTACCAATACAGCTCATACAAGTCTTTTCTGGCTTGCTGCCACTGCTAAAGCTTTGTGCTTGTGGCAGTGTGTATGCCAGTGTCCTGTGGTTGTCATGCACTAGAGCATCCAAGCCATGCGTATATGCTCATAGGAGTCTCTTAGAGCCACCAGGTGCCTTCCTGTGGATGCTGGTTATTCCATCTGTTTTCTGCCATTGGAAGGGATGAAAAATGTGTATTTGTGTATGTGTATTTGTATTGAAAATATGATATGGCTTCAGACAGATTCACGGCGAATTCGTTACTGAATTCAGCCAAACTGTAACTCCATTACATGCAATTGTATTTTAGAAGCCCATGGCTGAGCATCTTCATTAGGGGTTGAAAATGAGAAGAATAACCCCTGTAGGGCTCAATCTGTGTCACTGCAGGAGTTGACCTTTCTTTGTGCAACACTTTCAAAAAGATAGATAATCAAAGAAGGTCAAATACTGCCTGATACTTACTCAACTGAATTCTGTTCTGGGATGAACAGTTCTCTTACTAAAGAGGAGGTTCTTTTGGGAGGAAGGGTCTCAGGACCAGGGAGATGGCAGGAGAAACAGCCTCCAAACAATCCAGAAATTTGGTGAGCAAGCACAGCCAGAGCAGTCTCATGGTTCTCCCATTTCTGCATTTCCCTGGCAGTGCGTCCTCACCAGGAGCTGTGTTGCTGCTGGCTTTACACTGAGGTTTCATCCTCCAAGAGAGACAGGAATTGAATCCATTGTTGTTGGGATATGAATGTTTATTCCTTTTTGTGCTACTGGCTGAAATATCTGCTGTTCTTTCTGCTTTGGGGGCAGTTGATCGTGACTGGGCTTCTTCTTTTCTAACATTAAAAAATGCGACATGCTTACGTATGCATTTATAGAGTTTTCAAATAATAGCTCCAAAAGAATCTGGGTTTGTAATCTGCATGCAGATGCAGGTTAACTGCAGCAAACAAGAATCATGTGAAGAGCATAGCTGCCTTCAGGCTCCTAATTAAATAGCCTTGAAGTAGCCATCTGCAGAAAGTTTACCACGAAATCGAACAAAAGTATTAATTCCTTGGTTGCCCTTGACACTAGACATATTTGCACATTCAAATGTTGCAGTTTTACAGGGTAGGAGTGTGATTTGCAGAGTTTGTAAATTCTCTCCCTTTTTTCGCTGTTTCTTTCCTCTAAGACCCAATGCAATCTTAATATTCCCAGGCAACGTGAATTTAAAAATTTGTGTCTCCCTTTCCATTTTAAGGAGATCCTCCTCTTGTCTGGGCAGTTGGCAGAGAAACTTCTCTGAATGTATCTTTTATATAGACCAGGTGAGAAATTTTCCTCTTGGAAAATGATGACTGAAGAGGTGATAACATATAATTTAGTGTATTGCAAAGAGGATGGTTATCCGTTATTTCTCGTACCATCGAGGTCTGGAGACACTCAAGGAACATTCTGAGCGATTCAGCAGCAATTCTAATACAACTGCAAAATGTATTTCTAAACCAAAGCAGAAGTTTTTAGTACTGATAAAGTATGTCAGTGAATTCAGAGGAAATTGAGCAATTTAATTGTGGATCGTAGTGACTATGAAAAATAATGGTCTGAATGCAGCTTCCATCTCAGGAATTTCCATCTCTGCTGATTCCCAGAAGACGCAAAGGTGTACCTGGTGAAAAATCAGCAAGAATCTGCCTTGTTTCATTTATTTCCCTGAACATTTGCTGTAGTTGTGGCCAGAGGTGCAACATGTGATAGGCAGACTTTGGGCTTGACTCGTTCTGGTTATTCTTATGTTCTTACTGCAGTGCAGTCTTTAATATCTCACTGTAAAGATCATTTTAATTGAAAACATTATTAACCAGAAAGAGCAAATGGATAAGAGGGTATTTTTTGCATTGTTATGTGTTTTTTCTTTTAATTGTATTAAATTTCTCCAGAAGCCAACTTAGACTTTATTCACTTCTTTTTCCAGCCTCGCCTTAGGATATAATGTCAGTGTGAAAACAGAACCCATTTATTTTGAGCGTAGGAGAATTTCAGTAGGTAATTAGAGCACAATGGCAGCTTTTCTCAGTTTTGGTTGGTTAGTTGTTGTATTTTTTTTTTCTGGAGTATTTAGATGAAAGAAAAAGAGATTTCGCCTGATTGGTGTGAAGTTATCTGAAGTTTGAATGACGGTTTCAGTACTTTGTTTCTAAAAAAAAGAAAAGGAAAGGTAATTGTGCATGTTCCAGTAGCTCAGATAATAGCTTCAGGTAGTTGTTCTGAACAGCGTACTCAAGAAGAAGTGTTTAGATCACAAACAGACAGCTGTTTCAGAAGACAGTGCTGACATCCCACTGTAGTGATTTCTGATGGAAGTGCTCCAAACCTTCTGGAGCGTATGCTTGCATCCTGGAGCTGGGCATCATGTTCCTCTCAGGCCATCTTCATCCTGCTCTGTGTTTGGACTGCTTAAAGAAAACAGCTTCCCCCCAGTCTCAGTAATGCCAAAGATGAAGCAGTTAGGCTTACTTCTGTAATCTCTCCTGCTTTACAGTTATCTCTTTCTCCTGAGTCTTAAGATGAGGCTGTCGAGAGAAATGCTTCTTTCTAAATAAACCTCCATTGAAACTTTTCTTTTTAATCTTGGCAATGACACCTCTTTCTCCAAGAAAACTTGTAGTATTCAACTGTTAAAACAGCTTTACCAAATTGGATACCTGGCCATCTCTTCTTCCAGCCGAACGTTGTGCAGTAACGTAATTAAGTTTATGATGGGTAATGATGGAGGTATTTCTTCGGTATGCAAATAGCTGGTAATAGATGATCTGTGGCGACCAGCGTGTGGTGACTGTATTCAGTTTGTTTATTTTCTTTCCTCCAGTGCATGGTTCTTCTCTCTCTTTGGTGTCCAGTACATCATCTATTTATTCGACAGTGAGTATAATGGAATTAATTGTTTTGCTATATTAATCACAATGGGAGAATAACTAGTCTTTTTGTTCCTGTTACTATTGTCACTCAAGGAAGAGGAATGCTAGCTATGAGAGAAATGTTGGTCTTCATAAAGATACCTCTAGATATTTAGCAGCATCCTCATTAAACAGAGATGATAATCCTGTAAAAGCAGCAGTTCATTGTTTGAGTCAGCGCTTTACAACTCTGCTGAATAGATTTTGCTGCTAAAGACCTCAGCAGAATTAAGGAGCCTTGAACATAATTCAAACTTGGGTGCTTCAAGTCATTCTAGCTTTGTATTTTACTGCTGAAGAAGTTTGAATAAGTGGTTCGGTGCCCTTGGTATCCAAGCGAGATAGATTAAAGCTGGACCATACGTTCCTGGCAGATTATGATCACAATTTAGGAGGTTTCTAAAAATTGGATTCTTTTAAAGAAATGAGTGATAGATAATTACTTCATAAATATATGTGCATTGAACAGAATCTTTCCTTTCAAATCATTATGTAAGTATGATGCAACTCTACAGTAAGCACATTTCCACAGCTGAAACAAGCCAAAGTGACACCTGGTGAAAACAGGGAAGGGCTTGCTCTTGGAAGACCATACATAACTGTTTGTGGAGTCATCCAGCCAGCATAGTGTTATTTCTTGTATCTGTTTCACTGATAAGCAAAGAACATGTGTGACGTGGCCTTAAGGCCTTGATAATCATTTCAAAATATTGCCTTCCATTATGAACCTTGCCTCAAGCAAGGCCTGTGTGGAGCCAAAACAGATAATGGATTGGAAGGATGGAAAACAGACCTTTCCTTGTAGCCACAAGAGCCACAAGGAAAGTAGTCAGCAGCTACTGCTTATGATTCTGGTTCGTGTGCTTTCTGTCCTAGCCTGAATGGTTCTTAATAGTGTGGTTTGACAAATGTAATTTTCACAGTGGCTGGTACTGGATATGTTTACGTAAGAGTAGTAGAGTGTGTGACTTTTTACTGTGTCCTCCTCCTTGCTGATTGCTTTGGTTAGAAACAAGCCACAGTAGCCAAAATTTTGTCATGCAGACCACAATGGATGGTCAATACATCCACTTTACATGCTCAGATAACTAGTTGTGTGTCCTCAATTTTTCATCACCACAGTGCCTAGACAGCACCAAGTGGTAGTAATTTTCTTCAGATCGCTGTGGATGCAAAAGCATGACCACCATCCCATAGAGAGCTGAGCGTGTGAGTTAGGGAATTGCTAAGGATCTCCCGTGGCCTGTGACAGTCCTGTCTCTTCTGAACCTCATGGAATTCTTTTTGCACTGAGCCAGGACTTCAGCCTTTCATGGCTCAGACTCAACGGTGTGCTGGCTTACAAATCGGGAAGTAGAGGCAAATTCCTTTGTGTAGGAGGAGGTGCTATACAAGCAGCCTGCTTTCTTTATCCCAAGAAAGTAATCTAAGATGGAGTATGGATGTGAAAATCCTAAATAAGAAATTACCACTTGAGTTTTTGAAAATCATATTAATAATAATGATAATAATAGTTAAGATTTTTGTACTGTTTCCATTGTAATGTTCTTACATATTTTCCTCCGATTTTGTTTTATAGCCTGAAGAGAAGTGCCAATCAGAGGTAAGAGCAGTTTGTGTTTGACAGGCATAAATATTCTGTCAAGACACCTCGTTTTCTGTCTTACTGTTCTACTGCTCCATATCACAGTGCAGTAAAGAGATCTCTTAAAATATACAGATTCGCAAGCTACGAAGAGAGTTGGATGCATCCCAAGAGAAGGTATCAGCTCTGACAACTCAGCTGACTGCAAATGTGAGTACAACTCAAAGGATAAACTCTTAACAGGGAACGCATTTAATGCGCCAATTACCACTGCAGTTTTTGTAAATAATAAAAAAAAAAAAACAACAATAACAACAGAACAAAAGAAATGTGAATAATATTCAGTTTGTATTACCTATGTATTTTAAAAAATAACTGCATGCATACGTGGCTCCTTATGAAAAGTAACACACTCAGTCCTACTGAGTTACCTTATGCCTTCCTTTATATACTGAATTACAGTGTTTGCTTTGCTTTAAAAGTCTGATAAGAACTGCTTCTTCAGATATTGAGAGAGTCGTTGAAGACTGGCTCTTTTGTTTGTTATTTTGTAAGTAGTGCCTTGTTTTGATATTTGAGTGGGATGAGATACAAATGACTGAAACTGGCAGGAATAAAAATGGATAGAAACTCGGATTGCAAAGCATTATGTTTTCCTATTCCATAAATAGAGTGATAGGTAATAGTGGCATAAGGGGCTGTGAGAATTAATTTACAGCTGCCTGAAGACTGAACATACCTGATTTTTGTCGGTGCAGGCAGTACGTCTGGAATTTGGTGTTTACACTTGGAGAAAAAAGAGTTGAAGCCAGGAAGTGTTGAGGCAATGCTATGCATGACCCTGAGCAAGTTTATTTGTGTGTTCTCTTCTGCAGTCACAGATAGAAGTAATCTAAAAAACAGAAGCTTGCTGCAAAAATAAGCAGTTCTAGGGTAAACAAGCTGCAGATGAGCAGTCATCAGCTTGGATCATACTGACATCCTCAGTTGTGGGAATAGATAAACGTAAGCGCACATGCTACTGAGGAGGACATTGGTGTCCATCAGCTCTTTGAATACTAAACTTGGCAAGATTCCCTTACATGTGCTGTTTGTTAATCCATGTAACCCTGTTTGCTTTCTCTCTCTTTTTTTTTAAACTCTTGCAGTGTTTGGATGAGTATCAGCATTTCACACAGCCCCCACCGTTCTCTGCTCTCCCAACAGAAACTTTGCAGTCTGCTTTTTAAACAAATGTTTACGTTTTCAAACACATGTAGCAATGGTTCCGCTTACTTCTTGCTATTTTCTCACAGCCTCAGATCTGCTTATTTTCATAGAGGCTGGTGGGAATGAGAGGTGCACATCCCTGTGTTATTGTACTGTTCGTGTTTGTTTGCAGTGTGAATGTGAGAGCTATTATTTCGGATAAGTCAGCCATGTGCTGATGATGACCAAGTCTGGTATGGCTCTGTGCAGGGCTGTGCCATATATATCTGTTTGAGCCAATGTCCATTTCTGCTTGGAAAGATTTGAGACAGTTTTTTTGTTTTAGGTAGATTTTGAATTGAAAAATGAAATATTTGTTGTGGTACTTGTAGAATATTGTGGCTAATGAGACATACGTTGAGCTATGCCTATGTTCAGTTATTTCAACATGTGCATATCTATGTGTACAGTAATAGTAATGCCTTACCATGGCACTGGAAACATAGCTCCCACTTATCAAGTTTTCCATCTTCTCAATCTACTCCTCCTTTATTTTACTTCTCAGTCATTTTCAATTCCTAATGCAGTTGACACTGGGTTTTCAGTGCTTCATGTGAAAAGAACAGAGGGTAATTCATAGAATCACATAATAGAATCATAGAGTGGCTTAGATTGAAAGGGACCTTGGAGATCATTGAGCTCCAACCCCGCTGCCATGGGAACTGGCCAAGCACCATGAAGTTCTGGATAATATTCAGCAGCTTGAACTTTTGTGGCAAGTCAGGTGCCCCCAGGTAGTGGAGAGACCACTGAGTTTGTTGCAGAGCATCAGCTGATGGAGCAGCTTGCAGACTAGCTGCAAGAGCTCAGTAGTGCTGTCTCTGTTCTGCAGCACAGCACAGTGAGCCTCTCTGCCTCCATAACTTCCAGCATCTTTCCACCTTAAGACAGATCTCTTTGTTTTAAGAATGACACTGGTAGAGTTAATTGTGCAGATTAATTACGGCTCTCCTTTACAAGGAAAAGTTGATTGACTTGGACTGGGCACTGACTAGTAAGCTTGACCTGTTAGATAGGTTATATAGAAGAGTACTACAGTTTTAACCAACTTCCTATGTTTTCTGGTAAACATACAACTTAGAAACCTAAAAGTACTAATTTTCATGCATTTCATGATTTCAGTATGGTGAATATCTAGGGATAGAGCTTGATAACTAGTGTAGAAAAGCCTTAATATGGGAATATCAGTGTCCTTGACTTGAAGTAGTCCACTGCTGTTTTGTGTGAAGCCTGCTATCTCCTAGTGTTAGCAGTGTTTTCAGATATCTGATCTGTTTGCTTATCAGTGGTGGCCTAGCTATCTCTAGTCTGGTTTTCTTGGGAACTTCAGTTAGCATATCAGTGTGTGATAGCATTTTTATGACGTGATTTAGAACTGTTTTTGAAAAATACTTTTCCTTTGCTTTTTGTTTTTTGCTTTTGCAGATATTAAAACTGAAAACATTTTAGGAAACTTTTAGAGCTAATTACAATTCAAGACAATGGGAGTTTTATATATTGCTACCAGCATCTGGCAGCAAAAATAGGCAATTTTCTGTCCTTCAGCAGCACTCAGTTGCCTTGTTTGTCTGCAGATACTTCATAAATTGTTAGGAGAAAATGAAGGTGGTGCATTTTCCAGCTTTACCTGTTTCACCCCAAAAGCACACTTAATTTCACTTTTAACACCTTTACTTAAAGCATCTCATGATTTACATTCTTTCACTGTATTTCACTTCTGTAACATGATTCTTGAACTAACATTAGTGTCAATGCTTTGATGCTTCAGAAGAGTTAAATAACAACCAGCCATATCTTTGGTCTCTGGAGCTTCTTACAGCACCTTCCTGCAGATTTTTGGAGTTCTTATATTTGGTTTAGTACGGATGACACAAATCTTCACTTTTCAATTAAAAATTAGTAGCATTCAAGAGAATCCTGAAAATTCTCTGAAGCAAATGTATTCTCTAACCTTTAATTTTCCATTTCAAATTCCAGTTCTGGTTTTCTGTTGTGTAAATTCTGAATGCATGGGGAAAATATTGACACAGAAAATATTAATCCTCCTCTAATAGGAGGAAATGCCTGATCTGCCTTTGTAGAACTTGGTTTATATTGTAGGACTCAATTTATATTCTATTTATTGCTGTGTTTTGAAAACTTTTTAGGTTATTCTCCTAAAAATTACGTGTTAGTGGGTTTTCTGGGTTAAGTGTTTTTTTTTGTTTGTTTTGGTTTGCTTTTTGTACTCTCCAGGAAAAAGATTTAAACTTCTTGTAATATGTTCTGTGGCAAGAGTTGCATTAATTCGGAGGGTACATGCATCCCTAAGTAGCCTTATACAGGGCTATATAAGAGCCTTGTGCATAGCTAATGTAACAGCCCACGTGAAAAGTCAGAGTTGAAAAAGTCTGAGTTGAAAAATTAACAGCAAGAGATGTTTAGAACCATGGGTTGTTCTGCATCTTTTCTACTCCCTGCTTTTTGCGGTAGGAGGTCCTTCATGTCATTGCTTGCAGTTGCTTTGAGACGCAGCTCAATAACCAAGGAGGGCTTTCCATGCCTGTTTGGTGTCAGGAATATATCCAGGTGACAAGGCTCATTCCCTAAAATGTCTCTGAGAGCCTCCTGGTGTATCCTGGTAGATGTTTCCACAATACATACTCAGCCCTTTGACTCACTGCTATTTTCTCTGTATCGTCATTTCGACAAACAGTGAAATGCAGTAGGCGATGTGTTCAAATACCTGCACAAATATTGTTTGGGAGAGAACCAAGTGCTTCTGTGTCATTTAATTTTCAGGCCCACCTTGTGGCAGCATTTGAGCAGAGTCTGGGAAACATGACGATCAGACTGCAGAGCCTCACCATGACAGCTGAACAAAAGGCAAGTGTAGAAGTACAATCGCAGAATCACAGAATCACCAAGGTTGGAAAGGACCTCCAAGATCATCCAGTCCAACTGTCCACCTATCACCAATATTTCCTACTAAACCATGTCCCTCTGTACAACATCTAAACTCTGTTCACTCCACTCTCTGGGCCTGGCCCTCCAGCCAGTTTTTTACCCAGCAAAGAGTGTACCTGTCCAAGCCAGAGACTGCCAGCTTCTCCAGGAGAATACAATGGGAGGTAGTGTCAAAGGCTTTGCAGATTAAATACATTTCTTCCCTGTGCATTCACACTTGTGTCCAAAAGAAGTGCATAGTGTTTTCTTGGACAGTGTATGTGGATATACATTGTTCCTCTACTACAGAGCATGTATATCTATTGTATTAAAATAATAAGGCTGTGTTGTGTCCTCTTGAGGATGTGCTTCCCCAGGTGTATACCAAACTTCATTTTTCTTTCGTTGGACATACATATTACAAAAATTCTGTCAAATCCCAGTGCTTGGACTGAAAACTGGTGCAGCTAGGTACCATCTGCATTTTCTGACATATCACCACTGTTTCCTTTTCTAAGGACTCTGAACTGAATGAGCTAAGGAAGACTATTGAACTACTGAAGAAGCAAAATGCTGCTGCCCAGGCTGCAATTAATGGAGTCATCAACACACCTGAGCTCAACTGCAAAGGTGAGAAGCAAGCACTGCGTATCATGACTGAGCAGTACTTGTGGGATTTGAGTACTTTTGGTAATATCTGATGCATGCAGCTCTACCTGTCGGAGATCTTGTGTGTGTCTCATGACTGTGCACTCCAGTTCCTTGATTTTATATAGTGTGGGGATTTGGAATGGATATCTGTGGAAATAGTGTGGTAAATCCTACAGAAATAAGTGAGTGTGTTAGAATTTGAGTGTGAGCTCACTGAATTTACTGTAAGTGTTCAGTGACTCACCCATCTAAATGCTCACGTGAAACACCAAAGAACCCCATTTCAGAACAGTCAAACACTTTATTTTCTTTGGTGTTTCCTGTAATTTTCTCCAATATGAAGTTTGAATGCAGTCTTGTTGTATCTGACTTCTGTTACTTATCCCAATCATTTACAGTGCGATGAAATGCTGAAGGAGGTATTTGAGTGGTTTGGGTCTGAGATTTTGATCTCTTCATGAGAAATAAGCATGTGGAGCACTGCGTTGAAATAAACAGAACCTCAGCTAGGGTTGGTGATTGCTGAAGTGCTTTTTTCCTTTCAAACTCTTCATTTGAGATTAAATGATTAATACAGAATGTCATATTGAACACCTCCTCCATTGATGTGCAGGAACTGGAGCTGCTCAACCCACAGACCTGCGGATCCGAAGGCAGCACTCTTCAGATAGTGTCTCCAGCATTAACAGTGCTACCAGCCACTCTAGCGTGGGAAGCAACATAGAGAGTGATTCAAAGAAAAAGAAGAGGAAGAACTGGGTGAGTGTATGCTAATGGATCGTGTGTGGTTTATATAGAACTGTCGGAACATGCATGGTGAAGTCTAGCTGCTCAGCTCCTCCCTCCCCACATGCAGCAGGTCAGCACAAGAACTAGGTGCTGTTTAAATCCTGCGTAAATACCCTTTGGAAGACTTAATTGAGTTGTAAGTGATGTATATGCTTGTGTTGACTTTGTGTGGGATTGAATTTTATGTTAACAGCCAAAAGGCCGGTCCTAAAGTAGAAAGAGCTGTCAAAAATCAGTCTGGCTAAAAGTAGTACAGTGCCCAACCCCTCAGGGAAAGCTTCAAGTTTGTCACTAAAATAGAACAAGTCCACAATGAGAGATTTGTTATTTTTTTTCTTTTTGCCTTGTAGGCCTTTCTTCTATTAAGTAAACATGTTAGACACTTTGAGAGCTCTATCTGGAATGTTAGTGTGCAGTTCTACACAAAAAAATACCAACATTTAAGAAATTACTGTGATAAACATACATTATTCAGGATTTTGCATTACTTACCTTTCATTTCCCATTTTTCCTTCTTTGCTCATCTTGTACTGTGTACAAGGTACCATGTACTGGAGGAAAGGTACAATATATTAAGCTCCATTTTGAATTAGACCATAAACTGCCTTAGTGACCTAGTCTGAATGTAGTTTGGACTAAAGTCCCTTGATCCCATACTAGCCAGTGAATCATTCCATCCCTTTCCTCCCACTGAATTTAGATCTCCCTGCATCTTTGGGGATCTTTTCTTTAGAACTACAAAATGCGGCTTGAGTTGGGAGAATCTTGATATATATTTGTACAGTGTCTCCTTGGAAATGTTTATGAATCCTCTTGTACTTAAAGTACTTCTTGAGCAGGCTCTTATTTTTATTTCTCACAATTGTTTCATTTGAATATCTTGCTAGCTCCTCCGTAACTGTAGTATTGCTGCCCTCCTCCGAAAAGCACTGGTTAAAGGGAAGCAATGTCATCTGCTTGTGCAGGGTTATGCATTAATTATAGAAGGAGCAAATTGCTGTGTCTTCAAATTGTTGGCAACTCTTTTAGTTTTTTGTGACAAGCCTGCTGTAACCATTAAGCCTTAGATAAGGTAAAAACTTGTGAAATTTTTACTTTAGCTTCTATTCTTTGTCACTGTAATGTAGTGGGTCTCTATATCAGCCTACACTTCTCATTTGACCCAGAACTATTTAAAGAAGTTTAAGGAAACATTATGAAGATGACAGGACAGTGCTTTTATTCTGTTAAATGTGAATACATTGGTGCAAAATGAAGATTGAACATTAATCCAGAGAATAGCGGTCTGCCTTCCACTTAGTTAATTTCACAAACATTGATGTTGTTCTCTACCAAGAACCTTTTGTTACATATGGAAACAACATGGCTGTCCACTCAGGGCTGAAACGAGATTTTCAGCATTTCTCACTAGTCTTTGTCTAACGCAAAAATAACTTACAACACTGTTCACAACGTATGATTTTGAGATAGCCTTAGATTAATTCTTTATATTGTATGGTAAATGGTAGGCACATTCAAAAAAAAAAAATATTTGCAGGTGTGTAGAAAAGATTTGGTATTTTCAATATTTTCACTTGGTGGAATACCTGTTCCTGAAAGGAAACGCAAAATATGAAAGTAGCTGTTACGTCGAATGTCTCATCTGAGCCAAGGAGAAAATACAGCTGAAGTAGCTAAAGAGGCCTGGATCAAGTATCTTCTTCAAGTGATGCAAAAATGACTGTATGTTGTTTGAAAAACCTGTTTTTAGAAAATACAAGGTTCCAGTTTTAAAGTAGCTCTTGTACTGTATTGATTATTGGTCATGTTTGTCTTAGAAATCCAAAGCTTTCCTTATTACAGGCTTTCTCTGTTAAAACTTGTCTTTTTTCCTTCCCCCCACTTCCTCTTGCTTGCGCTTCTTCCGGCAGGTCAATGAGGTAAGGAAGACCTACTTTAAACTATGAGATACAAAGCTAACCCATCCATTTACATGACTAACCATTTCAGCATCATTAACCTTGTCTGAGCCACATTATATTATAGCTGCAAGTTGTTACACCGTTGCTCATTTCACTGAACATGATTTGCTGTAAAAAATTAAAAATAGGAAGCGCTGATGTCCAGCCCTATTGACCTTATTAATCTCATAAAGTAGTTAAGGAAAAAAGCTTTTTGATTCCCTTTTAGTGCTGTTAAAATCTCTGAGTATGGCTTTATTGTTTGGAATATTTGCATGTTGGAGTTTCAGTCTGTGGCTTTTTGTATGGATGCATTCTTCATGGTGTGTCTACTGCTGTGGTCTTGTATTTCAGTTACGCAGCTCCTTCAAGCAAGCTTTTGGTAAAAAGAAATCTCCCAAGTCAGCATCTTCTCATTCAGATATTGAGGAGATGACAGATTCTTCATTGCCTTCATCACCAAAGCTGCCACACCATAATTCTACTGTTTCTACACCATTGCTGAGAGCTTCTCATTCCAATTCTCTGTAAGTGATTTCTATTTTTATTTTTTAAATGGAAAAATGGGTGGAAAGCATCTTAGTACGCAGTTAGAGGAAAAGAGCAAAATCATGCTTTTGATAGGTCCAGCGTTTATATGCTAGTTCTGTGGGACATCTCTAGGCTGCTTTCTAGAAACAAACAATGGCAAAGTATATCTTAAAACATCCCATCCTGTTGATTCCTCTGAATGGGAATCTACAAATCTGTGAAAGGACTACAAGAGTTTGACAGCTTTTTGGTTATGTGCACTGCTAAAACCAGACCGCAGTGGAAGCTGTAGCGGGTCAAGCAGGGTAGTCTTGTACACGTGTGCTGGTCTGCTCCTATTGGTTGGCCCTACTCCTGAGCAATACTTGCTTTATCTCCCAGAGAAGGGGCTGTGTTTGGCTAAGTGGATTTGATAAAGTCCTTAACCATGTCATAATGGCAAAACAATGAGCAAAGAGCAAACATTTTAACTGGTATTTATTTTGAATGTCCTGTACCCTAAGGAGAACACAGGGAAAGATGGAAGAGTTTAATTTCTATATTTGGGGAATTAAAGACATGTGAGCTGACTTCCAACTTCATACCTTTGCATTAGCATCCAGGAAGCTAAAAATCATTGCATCTTTACTGTGGGATAGATATTTCACTGGGGAGCTTCCTCTGCAAAACATACCGAGTATGAATAGTAGGAATAGTGACCTTGGAGTGCAGAACTAATTGGATCTCTGGCTGCTAAGGATACAACCAGGCCAAGTCCGGGATTTTGTTTTCTCTCTTGGCTAAAGATAACACATTTTATAATAATCTGCAGTGATGGAGTCCCCAGTTAAACTGACAAATTCAAATAAAGGCAAGAACTTACTGAAGATCAAATGGCATGGTTTACTGATATGGCTGAACACTTAACAGCTTGTTTCTGTTGGGCAGAAACCCCCACATCCTCCTCCACCTGCTCCTTCCCTTACATGGTTCTGCCACTCATCAAACAATTCCACTAAGCTAATGGAACAAGCTAAATTATGTGAAAAGTAGTTTAATGGAAATGTGAACAGTTTTTCCCCAGGTTGCTGAGTTGGATCAGCTCAGTGGAGTGATCAGACTCAGTTGAGCATCAGAGCTGGTGTAAGCACAGGGTCATGACAGCAGCACAGCACAGCTGGCAAGCAGAAGAATGAGACAGAGATCTGCTCCTTTTGGTGGTAGCAAGTACATCAATCAGTCAATAAAGGCTCATCAATATCACCAAACCATGCTCTCCTGTCTGTGTTTGTATGTGAATGAAGTGTTGATTTTGAAGTCTGGACTTCTGTTGCTTAGCTAACTTTACAGTCAGGAAGGTCACGGGCATTCGTGATGGTTCATTTGGGCCACCTGTGAAGTAAAGTTTAAAATGGCCACCCTGAGCTGTTTGTGAGTCTAAACTTGCATTTACAGTGATCTTAGAGAACTTTATAAAATAGATTTTGTGTGTCTTCTATCAGTAACTTCTCCACTTGGGCAGGATAAACAAATACAGAAAGTTATAAGAGGCCGTATTGTAAAACATTTCAAATAGCCTTGCAGCCTTGTAGATGCCATAAAAAACTTCAGCCTGATTTCTGTTCCATTGTACTTAAGTATGCAGACTTGAAGTTTTGCCCGCTGCTTTCACATGAAGAGATGAAAGAAAATATCAGTAGTTTCCAGTCGAATGATGGCTAAGAAATGCCAATATCAGAAGATAATTCCCCATGAATTTTTTAAAGCTTCTCCATTCTCTTGAATCTAATTCGCTGAGTTTCTCGTGACTATGGCAAATTGGGCTTTAGAACTCTGAGGCCAGAAGATTGTTAAATGATGGTCCCTTCCATCCTCAATCAAAATGCACTATGCGTACTTCTCATCTTGAAAAGAAAGCAAAAAGCCTAAACACAAGACAAGGAGAGCAAAAGGAAAACCTGTGTATTTTGGCATACCAGCTTTCTGGTGGAGAAAACGTCCCTTATTAACCTGATTTAAGGAGACACATTGTAAGAAAAACATCCCTCAAAGCATGCAGCTGTGTAGTTCATCTTTGTATAGATTCACTTATGAATGTGCTGCAATGTTACTCATCTGGATTTGTTCTGATTTTTTTTTTTTTTGGTGGGAAGAGGGAATTAAAATGCCACCAAAAATGTTTTGAGCATGAGTGCTTTAAAGCAAATGGGAATTTATCATAAACATTTAAAGCTTACACCTGGTGGGCTTTAAATCTTTCTGTAAAATCATCAATCTTCATCCAACTGCTGCTACTACTTGCACCTGCACCTCCTTCATTTACTTAGATTTTGCCTTTCAGTTAGTTCTTTCCTGGCAACTACCAAGAATGAAATTTTGTTGGTCTCTTATGTTTCCATGACTTATTTACCATCTGGTTTATGGTATCACTTATGAAATGAGCCCAAATGCTGCCTGTAGAATAAAAAGTGGTGTTTTTTTTCCTCTTTTATTACTAAGTGCTGGTGAAGCATCACCTAAAAAGTTACACATGCTACAGTTCATGTCTGCTTTTCATTCTTTCCCAGTATTTCTGAATGCACAGACAGTGAAGCTGAAACAGTCATGCAGTTACGCAATGAACTAAGAGACAAGGAGATGAAGTTGACTGACATTCGTCTAGAAGCCCTTAGCTCTGCTCATCAGCTCGACCAGCTTCGGGAGGCAATGAACAGAATGCAGGTAGGAAATGACCACCTCAAATATCACAGTGTATGTTGATGTGTTAAAAGCTGCCCGTCCCACCACGCAATAAATATCTGAAGGAAGGTAAATGTGAAGTTCTTGAATGCACATTAAAAATTGTGTTTAGTTTTGTAATGGTGGTAAACTTTAGACCTTCATAAAAAAGCTTGAGCTCATGATTTCTCCCTCCCTGAACACTGCGGCACTTATCTGTTCCAACGCTAGAAGGCTATGGGGAAACCATTCCATTGGCCTATTTAAAAAATTCCCAAGCCATCTGCCTTAAAGTAGCTGCACTTCAGTGCTTATTGAATTCCCACATATTTGTGTTTGGTAAAACGCTTAGAAAAGTTTTATGGAAGGGATGTTATACTAATTAAAATCATTAATGTGTTACAGTAAATTAAAATAATGTGAAAATGACATTCCTACTAAACTAATATATCTTCTGAAGTTGCTTATCCAGCTCTTTTTTAAGAGTGTTTTCACCATGCCTTCTAACTACTGATTTGTCTTTTCAAGAGTGAAATCGAGAAGTTAAAAGCAGAAAATGATCGACTGAAATCTGAAAACCATGGCAGCTGCAGCAGGGCTCAGTCTCAGGCTTCCATTTCTTCCTCTCCAAGGCATTCAGTGGGTCTCTCTCAACACAGTTTGAACCTCATGGAGTCATCTAGTCTCGGTGAGTTTAATGAGAAAGATGGCGGGCAGGTTTTATCCTGCTCTTGGAAAGTTTGGTTTGGTTAGCTGTGGAAAAATGAAAGCATGAAGATTATAAACAGCTATGGTGTGGAAATATGTCAGGAGCTGGCAGAAAGCCTTCTTTTAAAATGTCATCGTAGATTTGCTACGCCCTATACTGGAGTTGTCCAATTATGACCTCAGCTGCTGAGAGTTGCGTTCAGAACCATTGAATGGGGGATACTTTGTAGGAAGGAAAATACAGAGTAATTGACTAATACTTTTCAATGACCATCTTTTTTTAAGAGTGATCTTGATATTTAGAAAGGAAGTCAGTGAACCTGGTTTTCATCTTTTACCTCCAGGCACGAGAAGCTCAGATATGTTGTGTTCGACTGCGGTAGTAACATAAAGCAGAATAGCTTTCATTGTTAAGATACAGCTATGAAGCTTTTCATGTTTTCTCTTCACAGACATGCTGTTAGATGACACTGGTGATGGCTCTGCCCGCAAGGAAGGAGGCAGACATGTCAAAATAGTTGTCAGCTTTCAGGATGAAATGAAATGGAAGGAGGTAAGTTGTATTTTGTCCCAAGCTTTGACATACAAGTGACTTTGTCTTTGAATTCTGTGCTATGTTATTATCTGGTTTGGAGGCTTCTATTGAAAAATACTTTTAAAATGTGAAAAACTTAAAATAAATATATATTTTTTTAACAAAATAGTTTACTGGAGTATTAGTAGTGATAGACAAAGCACTTGAGCTCTCACTTCTGTAGAAATGCTGAAAGCCAAAAATACTAGTTCAGGTTGTCTGGTGTCTCATCTGCAGTGGCTTTCTATTTTACAGTTTCTCTTTGGTACCATCGGCACTGGCTGTGAACCAGTGTTAGTAATCCAGGCTTGCTAGGCTTTGTGTCAGTGGTGGAGCTGATAATGTTACAAGTTAAGCTTTTCAGGATCTTTGAAAAACAGGTCAGTTTTTCAGCTTCAGGGAGTTAGCAGGCTAATCTGCACATTGGGATGGTGTATATTTAAGACTGATATGTTAAAAGCTGCATAAAGCTCTTGGGCCTTTGTATTATTTAAGATTAAATAAAAAATGAGCTAATAATGGAGATGATCTAGGGGAAGTTGCAGTGAAATGCTAGAAGCAATGATAGGCCACAAGAACTTGTTAGATCCAATGTCTGGTTCAAGTTGTCCTCTTTGATACATCTATCACATTTTGAATCTGCTGTCTTTTAGATGTTCTTCATTCTCAAGTAATGTAAAAAATCTTATGTTACAATATATTTGTAATATGTTTACAAATACTGTCAAATTGCAGCCCGCTTCATATGAGTATTCGTGCACAAATGTACTGCAGTGACATTACTGCCTCGCATTGAGCACTTGTCAAAGCGCATAAGGTGTATGCACTTGTGCATGTTTCATAAATTATGAAATAATTTGATGTCCTTTGTAAGAGAGGACAACGATTTGAATGAGCAGAAACAAAGTCAGCTCAGCTGATCTTTCCATTAAATACCAATTTTCCATCAATAAATTACAGCCCTGGGCAAGCACATTAACAGTAAAACAGTGTTGCTAATTCTCTTGGACTCCACTGAGTGCACTGTTAGTAGTGGAAATGATTCTTGAAGTTTTAGCTGAACTTGGAGCCTTATGACAGAAATAGTTTTTCTTCAGTGAATGTTTCACAGTGAGTGCAGCTATGAAGGAATAAAAAAATGAAGTACATTCTATTTTCTTTATCTGCTGTAGAAATCAGAAGCGAAATGCTATAATACATTGAATGTAATGCACACATTACAGACATATCTAGAATGTCACTATATTTCTATGCACGTTTCTGTGCAGCATTTCTAGAAGTAAATCAGATAAATCTTGGAAGTGCTACATTTTGGATTGTGAAATCATGGACAAACGCATGTTGTGAATGTCTGCCTAGAATTTTCCCACATGCTTTTTGATAAGCTGTAATCTTCTCAGGGGTTTTGGAGTTGTTTGTGGATTTATTAATAAACACCTTTAACTTATCACTGGGTACCACTGAAGCATTCCCTAGATTTGAGTCTCCAACACTGTGAGAAACTTACAGGGGAAAGAAGAATTTTGTATGGTATTCATATTTTACTGTGAGGTAAGGAAGCAAAGGAAGCAACAGAACTACACCAAGATTTTAAACTTAAACAGACTTGACTGACACCATTAAGATTTATTTATTACCTAAATAAATCCATGTTTGTTTGCATTTAGGATTCAAGGCCTCGCTCCTTCCTCATAGGCTGCATTGGAGTGAGTGGGAAGACCAAATGGGATGTTCTGGATGGCGTTGTTAGGCGGTTGTTTAAGGTCAGTAAGTAACATCTGCTCTCTGCTTCAAGTCTCCAATTAGTATTCACACAGTATTTCACAACAGGAGATCTGTATGGAGGCTCAGATGTATGTACTGCTGTGAGTTTGGGTGGATGTCCAAGCAGTGCTGAGTTGTACAGAGAGGTGATATATAACTTGAGACAAGTCTGCTAACTTTATTTTCCATAATTTCCTCACATGTTAGCTTCGTAGCAGTTACTTGCCTATTCTCTATGCTTTATGTTTGAGGATTAGCTTGTTATTTTAAACTGGCTTTGGACAGCATCAAGTAGTATTTAACTCAGGGTGATTATTGTCATGGCATAGACCCTACAGGCACAGCAATTTCAATGTCTTGTAGACTTTCCCCTTCTTTTTTCACCATAGGAGTACATCATTCATGTGGATCCAGTGAGTCAGCTGGGACTGAATTCAGACAGTGTTCTGGGTTACAGCATTGGAGAGATCAAACGCACAAATAGTGCTGAGACACCTGAGCTGTTGCCCTGTGGCTATCTGGTTGGAGAAAACAATACTATTTCAGTTACCATCAAAGGTAATGATGTTTGATCAGTCCATTGTAGTTGTCAGTAATTATGGTTTTATCAAAGCATACTGTGTCAGGAAATACAGAGGAGTAGAAAAGTTTTTATTGCCTTTATTTTTCCCATCCTTTCCTTTTAATTACTCACCGTTCTGTTTTCATTTGATTAAGGCAGCACTTGGAGACTACAAAATTAGTAGATCTTCAGTCTGTAACAATAGCAATAATTCTACACACTTAGCAGCTTTCTCCAGACCTTTTAAATTGGTGCCTGAAGTTGTACTGCAGAGCACATCACATCACAGGCAATGCAGTGGAATTGTTTCAGCAGCAAGTATGCTTTGAAATCAATAAAGCCTCAGAATTTCAGTCAGCTGTTCATAACAGACCTACTTGGCATTTCCTTAATGTGGAGTAAAAAGGACAATTTAACTTGCTTGATTCATCTCACCTGATAGTCCTTCCCTCAGAGCCAACAGGGAGAGAGCCTGGAATTCATAATATATTTAACCCCAGATCTTTGAAAGCAAGTTTTTCAAAATGTATTGTTTTCAAAACTCTCATCAATGTGATTGAGCATATTATGCTGATGAGAATTTAATGTCCTGTGACACTGAAATTCTCAGAGGCCTTTTTTGTACGAAAACTATTGTATGGACTTGGGGTTGAGGAAAAGTCCCCAGTCACTGCAGTCTATCAGCTTGCTCACAGTACTTGTGAATGCTGCCAAACACTACAGTTCAACTTTGAAGTCTGACTGCACATTCAGAAGTGTTTCCATTTCTGAATATTGTTGCAAAAAATCGTTTCCTTGTGTTAAAAATCAGCAGTCAGGGAGCCAAAATAAGTCATGAGATATCTGAGTTTGCTGAGAACCCCAAATATTCTGCTTACATAGGCTGCATTGTCCAAGAGTATAACTCCAAGTGAAATAGTGTTCAACGACTGCCATACCTATGAAGTTGCAGTCTTGTCTTATGCTTAACTTGCAGTGGCTTGACTTGCACGTTAGAGGTTCGTACATGGTAACATTTTTCAATAAGATATGAATGTATTTAATCAATTTATGGGAAACCAGTTACTCACATACACCTTCAAGGTACAAAGCTGCCTATATAAATATTTAATATTCCATGTAACCATCGAGGTGCAAACATTTCTCTGTCTGATCTGCCAACTTCCCTTTCTTCTGTTTATTTTGAAGCACTGTGTGTTTTGTCTGAGCCAATTCTGCCTAAAGTGATTGCTGACATGGCATAAATGCTTATCAGTAGAAGTTTTATGTTAGAAGAGATAGCTATCAGCAGACAGAGAAGGAGTTTAATTAGAAGTCTTTGGGAAAACAGGGGGAGTTGATGATAGCTGCTTTTTTTTTTGTTTAGTGATTCAAAAGTAAACAGGTAAATTCTGGAGGAATGTGTGCTGCGCATGACAAAATAGTCTAAAACAGATGGCTCACGTGTGAAAGATGTAGCCTGGAAATCGTTGCATGGCAAAATTTCATAGAATCATAGAACGGCTTGAAGGGACCCCAAGGATCACCAAGTTCCAAACCCTCTGCTGCAGGCAGGGCCACCAACCTCCATATCTAATACCAGACCAGGCTGCCCATGGCCCCATCCAACCTGGCCTTGAACACCTCGAGGGATGGGGCATCCACAGCCTCTCCGGGCAGCCTGTTCCAGCACCTCACCACCCACTTGGTAAAGAACTTCCCCCTGACATCCAGCCTAAATCTTCCCTCCGAGGACACAATGAGATGCAGCAGAGTGCTTTGAGAACTGGGACAGCTGAAGGAAAATCCAGGTGAAGCTCACAGCTCACTTCTGCACGTTTTTATGTGGGCTGTTCCCTGTTGTGATAGCAGAGCAGAGAAGGGATTTCCCTCTGAAATAATAACTCGCTTGGTCAGGTTGGATCAACAACAACAAAAAGCTTAGAACAATGCAGGTAACCTGGATACAAAATAGGAATTCCTACAGATGCCGCATCTTTTTCTGCTGCAGGCGTCTGCGAAAACAGCTTGGACTGCCTGGTGTTTGAATCACTGATCCCAAAGCCCATCCTGCAGCGCTACGTTTCTCTCCTGCTGGAACACCGGAGGATTATCTTGTCTGGCCCCAGTGGCACTGGTAAAACATACCTAGCAAACAGGCTCTCTGAGTATATGGTCCTGCGGGAGGGCAGGGAGCTGGCTGACGGAATTATTGCAACCTTCAACGTGGACCATAAGTCCAGCAAGGTGAGAACACAGAAATCACTGCTTGTGCAGTACCATTATCCCAAAGGAGCAATATTTAAGGTTTTCAGAACTGTGGGTTCTGAATAGCAGGCTTCCAGGTGTGCATTTGAACACTGAGAGGTGCTAGGATTTTCAGGTGGCCTGAGGGTTGCTGTGGACATTAAACGCCTGCATCAAATTCTTAGCAACTTAAGAAGTCCCTATTGCAAGTGAACATTTTTCTCAAAAAACACAGAATGCATCTCCAGGCTGCCAGAATTCCTGCAGCTACAGGTATCAGCAGTGGTAATCTGCATATGTTGTCTCTGTAGTTACTGTTGTCCAGACGCATTCCTGAGCTCCTAAGGCATGTCTCTGTTTTTATGTGCTTTGGGTTTTGCCAAATATACCTTCAGTGAATGTCTAGGCTAAAAAATAATTATAATAAAAAAGCAGCATGTTTGATGGCCTTAGGCAAATCTTGCTGGGGGAAAAGGGATGGTTGAGAGTGCGGTTGTGGGCCACTGGTTCAATTTGAGATGTGCTGTGCAGTTAGTGCTCTAAGGATGGTGAGAGCATTTCAGCCACACCCAGTTACCCTGCAGTAGTACTCTGAGCTCATCATTCTCACTGAAGGTATCTAAATTTGGTCTCTATTGGGGAGTACTTTATACCAGATTGATTTGGTCTGGTTTGTTTTGGTATAAGCATGGTTGCAAGACCAGAGAACAAACCTAGCTGGAATGAAAGTGCCTCTCTTGCTTGGTGTGTAGAGATTACAGTACGTTCCTGAAAAAGAACAATATATTTCAGTCTTCTAAATGTCATATTAGGACAGCACAAATGAGACAAGAAAAAAAAAATTAAATGGAAAGACAGAATCTTAACCCTCTAAGTCCTTATCTCATACATATCTCTGGATGTTCAGTGTAACCTGAGAAAGAGAAGGAAAACCAGATTTTTCTGCTTCCTCAGTGGGCAAGAGACAGTGGTCTCCTTCTTTAGATTTCTTGGCAACATCACTAGCTAATTTATCTTAACTGTTTTTTTTCAAGACATATGATGAAATCTCTGGGGTTTTTTGTTCTTTGTTTTCATTGTGTGCCATGCAGGAACTCCGCCAATACCTGTCCAACCTAGCAGACCAGTGTAATAGTGAAAATAATGCTGTAGATATGCCTCTTGTAATCATTTTGGACAACTTGCATCATGTTAGCTCCCTAGGAGAGATCTTCAACGGACTTCTAAATTGCAAGTACCACAAATGGTAAGCAGATCTTAGAACACATGCCACATCCAAGAACGACATTTCCTAAGTATGTCCTGAAAAAGGAAGTCTAGATTGGTCTGGTAAAGAGGGCTGAGATGGCCAGACCATCCATATTATGGACAGCACTTCACAGATACTCTCTTCATTAAATAATCAGTTCTTCTGTAATCGATAATTTAAAAATAATAGAGGTTTTGGGTGATTTGCATTCATTTAATGCAATACATCTTAAGTACTAAAAGCCATTTTTGGTGGAAGATGATGCTCCAAAACTTCAATTTTGCTGTCAGAATTTGATGTGCTCATAAGCTATTGAGAATCTGGTTGTAAGTACAAAGTTTTCTTTGACTCACACAAAAAAGGTTTGAGTAACCCTTTTAAAGTTAAGATTTCACTACATTTACTTACTTAGTTTACAAGTTTGATGTAGTTTTTGTTTGTTTGTTTCTATTAACAGTCCGTATATTATTGGCACAATGAACCAAGCCACCTCCTCAACACCGAATCTTCAACTTCACCATAATTTCAGGTACTGTTTATTCATGTTTCTCATTTCTGTCTGCGGGCTCACAGAGTGGTAATGGCTGCTGAGTCATCTGAGGTTGTTCTTCTCAGCTGAAATAGGAGAGAAATACCATTCTCTAGTATCTGCTGCCCCAACGTGTAGCTTTATGTTGTCACAGAATCACCAAGGTTGCAAAAGATCTTTGAGATCATCCAGTCCAACCATCCGTCTACCACCGATATTTCCCATTAGACCATGTCCCCTAGCACAGCATCTTCTATTATTAAAATAACTGACATTGATAAAACCTTGACTTTTCCAAGGAATTTTAAGATATTTGATCCTCTTAAGAAGGTTGAAATACGACAATAGGCAAAGCAGATACTGAATGAGACATGAGATGAAGCAGAGCACAAGTATTTCATCTCATGAATTCATCATTTGAAAATAATTTTTGGTAAGAGTAAAGATGATTGGGGATAGGCTATTTTGATCATGATAATAATCCAGAAATGATATGAAAAATGTCACCCAGAATAGTTTTGTTCTGTAGCACTAAAGAATAATGATGGACATCTTTCCTGTTCTGTCACAGATGGGTGCTATGTGCTAACCACACTGAGCCAGTCAAGGGCTTTCTTGGCCGTTTCCTGAGAAGAAAATTGATTGAAACAGAAATCAGCAGCAGAATGAGAAATGCAGAGCTGGTTAAAATTATTGATTGGATTCCTAAGGTCTGGCAACATTTGAACAAGTTCTTGGAGGCCCACAGCTCCTCCGATGTTACTATTGGTAAGTGTTCTGCCCAGTCTGTCAGGGGTTGCATTTCCAGACATACATCAACATGTGTATTTCCTCGTGCATGAAGTATAATATGCCTGGTATATTTCTTTGTACTACATGGGGTAAAATGTTCTCTTAAAAACACTGCTTTTGGACAGTAGCATATTCTCAGACAAGTGGTACAAGAAGTTTTCGAACTCTTTTCGCCCATTTTGACAGACCTCTTAAGTCATTGATGCCAAAACTTGTTATGAAATGCAGCTAACTGGTTTTGCCTTGAAAGCTTTAGTCTTTTGAATTGTTGCAGGGGATTTTTGACCTCTGAAGAAAGAGCACTTCACCAGATTGCTGCATTTGTTCTTCAGTACTTGCCTTCTTTCTCTAAAGAACTGGAAATTGTCGTTTGATCCTATTTTGATTCATGTCACAATTATTTGAGTATAATATCTGAATGTCCCTTTCCCAGGTCCACGGCTCTTCCTCTCTTGTCCAATAGATGTAGATGGTTCAAGAGTTTGGTTTACTGACTTGTGGAACTACTCCATCATCCCATACCTGCTGGAGGCAGTCAGAGAAGGGCTGCAGGTGAGCCAACAGAAATGAAGACTCATCAGTCTTGAGTAACATCTATGCAGAGGGCAACACAGCATCAGATGAAACTGAATAGCAACAAAGTTTTCTGTGGATATAACTGTGCAAACCATCTTGGAGTAAGGAGTGGAAGCACAGAAGCTGCAGACTTGATTTTTTTTAAAACAGAGGTTAAATGCCAAACAATTGATGTTTTCAGTGGGAGTTAGACATACAGTACCTTTCAGTAATCTGTTCCAGGAGTACACCTTAAAACTGTACCATGCATCAGAAAAACATTTTTTGTGGTCATTTAGTTATGTAGGATTGTCCTTTGCAAATCAAAGCAAATCTTTCAGCAGGGGAGGAGCAATGCCGCATACCCTGAGAAGCACCTAAATGCCTGATGGGATCAGTATCAGTGACATACTGATTATTTCTCAATCTACAGGATGAATTTTCAAGTAGATCTCTGCATAATTCTTTCAGAGTCTGTAGTGAGTTCATCACTGTCTGTTCTTTGTATATCATTCATACACTCTAGCAAGTTGGATAGTTTGGGGCATTGCAATATGATTCTTAGCATCTCTTTGACTATGAAGCATGTTAGAATCAGGAGGAAGGCTTAACAGAGGTTTGCTATGGATTTACTTGCCAAGCAACTATGGAAAGAATGACTTTTTTGGTTCTTCAGCTCTCAGAATAAAAATAGCAGCACGTAATTTAAAAGGTCGTTGTGGAGACAGCAAAACCAAATACCAGTAAATTCTGGGTATTGCATACACTAAAGTAGTTATTTTTAATAAAGATTTTTTCTGTGAGAAAACTCCCTGTGTTTTTGTAACATGAAGACCCAGGACAAATGAAAGGTTTGTCCTGTTAGTGGACAGGCTCGTTTTAAAATGACTTCTTTTGCAGTGAAGCGAAATGCAAGATCACACATGCAGAAATAGAAAGCTGGGTCACAACAAGAGTGGAAGGTTAACAAAGGGCTGAAGGTAGATGGGATTGTAAAGTGTGGTAATGTATTAGGAGCTTGTGTTTTGATGACAGATGCCATTGTAGGGACATAACCTATAATCCAGTACTGCTTCTATGCGTAAGAAGACACATTAGAAAAGTGCAGGATGTTCAGAAAAGAGCAGCAGGTATCATTTAGGATACAGAAAGCATTGTATAGTGAGAGATGAGCAGCTTAGGCTGCTCTGAGGAAGCTTAATGGATGTTTGGCAAGTTTGGACTAGAAAAATTTAAACTGAGTAAGACACAGCTTGTTATTAGTAAAAACAATTCACAGCTACAGTGCTTTACTGCAAAAGTATTAGGTTCTCCATCACACACACACACATGTATATATATATATGTATATGAGGCTGAAATCTTTCTGAAACATGAAATAACTCCAAGAAGTTACAAGCTTCATGGAGAAGCAGTTGTGTCAAAGGATTTTATATTGTCCACTTAAGAAGCACATTGAGTTTCATTTGCTGTTTCTACAGCGGGTGTTTGTGGATGTGGAAGTGAGAAAAGACAGCTTTGTCATAGAAAACTTGAGTCTTAACTCATGGCTCCTCACAGCTTCTGAGTGCATGAATTCTTCAATACGTGTTTTGGTCAGAATTTTGACAGACACAGTTTGCCATTGGAATTGTGACAGGGCCTGAAGTCCTCATCACTTTGGTGTAAGGAACGTAATCAGTGTTTAAGAATGCACAGGGGTAACTTAGCTAGAAATAGAACAGAAGGTGACACAAAGTATTTCACATAAAACTTCCTACAGGGTTCCTATAAAGGAAAGTAATAGGAGCCAGTAATTTTTTTGACCTAAAATATATGAAGAGGGCAAATGTAATGATTTTGTTTCCTCTTGAAATGGAAAAAAAAAAAAAAAAAAGAACTGCTATCTATGGCAATGCTTGGGCTTGTCATAGTGATCTGAAGCTCTCCATATCAGCTGATCAGTAGGTGTGGAAAATAATGATGAGAAAGCACATCAGTTAATAAACCCTCTTTGCCCTCTTTTGTCTTGCCTGCAGTCTTCATCTTTCTTTAGGTGATCTGAATGGCTTGCATTCTAAGTGTAGTAAAGATTTCAGTTTCTCTCTTTTTGCTTTGGATTCTTTATCTGCTTTGATCCAATTTCCCCAAATTCCACAAATTCACTTCATTTAAGTTATTTCTTCATTTATTCTGGAATTTCTCTTTTGTTGAGTCTGTGGGGAAGAATAGAACTCATGTAGTCAAAGAGCAGCCAGAGCCCTACTAATTAACAAGCTAATGCTAGAAATGTGTGTTTCATTTTTGGGCTATTTTCTGTCCCCTACACCCACAAAAGCTCCTTTGAGAAAGCATCCTCTCATATGAAATCGCCTGCCAAGAAGGAAGGGTGGACTGCTGATTTCACTCTGATCTCTCTGGACCTAAACTGAACTATTTGTATGTTTCTGTTTCTCATTTGGAGAACTATTTTGGGTCAAAAACAAGTGAGCCAAAGGGATCCTTACAATAATTGCTCCCATTGGAGCTGCTGAGGTTTTGGTTCCTCAAAACAGCAATGTGAAAATTACAGGGTTGTTAAAAAAAAAAAAAAAAAAAAAAAAAAAAAAAAACTTTACCCTAGTTCTTCCTGCTCTGTGTATTGATATGGAATACTGCATCAAGAAAAAGAGGGCCTAAACTTTCTGTGGCTTCATGCAAGGAGCAGAAATCTAACAGGTTGGTTCATAAAGCGCCAGAGGGAAATCACTGCTCATACTCCAGTATGGCTTTATGAGCCAACCTGTCAGATTTCTGCTCCTTCATGGCACCTTCTCTCTCTAGGAGGCACTCATGAGAAAGGGATAGAACTGGGTGCTGTGGAAGGGAATAGTGAGCTGGTACTTCAAGTAGATCCGTGATGATTTCATGTGCTGCAATGCAAATGTCACTTACATCGCATTCTGAGAAGTGTGGTAGGAACTACATGGACCTTCTGGGCAGTAAGGACGTGACAAATACAAAATTCTCTGCACTTACCAACAGTCATGTCTTCCTGTAAATTTGAGAACAAGATAAGGTATGAGATCTGGTTAGTCACAGCTTGAAGACATTACGCTGGGAAAACAGCACAGTGCAGATGAAGGATTAAGCATGTTTTGTTTGTAAGATTGCCTAGCACCACCTGCTGGGCTCTCACTGCTGCAGTGCTGCTCCAGAATATACTTAATGCTTTGCCACTTATGGCCACGTGAGGATCAGCTCTAGAAAGCTCCAAAGTTTGCCCTAACTATTCCTGGTTGGCAACAGACAGGATGATAAAATTTAGAGGGTGGGAAAGAAGTAGTGATGAGCAAAAGGAGGCAGTCTTATATCCATCAAAGAGCTGGCAAATTCCTGTCCTACACTGGTGCTTTTTTCCCCCATGCATTTTATAGGAAAGTGAGAGGTCTCCAAATTCATGTGACAAAATGCTAGTAATGGACTCCAGTTGTGGAAGGATAGTTGGGCCAGAAATGCATAAAGCTGAAGTTAAAAAGTTTAAAGTCACTTCAAGTTGTACTTACATTTTTAAAAGTAATATGACATTCAAAAGAATTTATTATCTATTTAAGGCAAACAACGTAACAAGAAAGATATATAGGGATTCAGTAACACAATCTGCTGGAAACAAGAAAAAGGTTTTGAGACAGCATACTTACTTGAAATGGGAACAGATAGCCAAATTCTGCTGGCACATTTTCTTGGTTGAGTACAAAGAAAATCTCTTGGCTTGAAAACCATGCTTTGACATCCATCCATCACTGTTGCTCGATAACAGGTATCACGTTTCCTCCTGTGCATTCTTGTAGCTGCAGTTTCACAGCAACGGTGGACAGATAAGCCAGCTGTTGTTGTGAACTGAATGTGATCGTTAACAGTCTGTCCTTTGTATTTACTTCAAGTTTAAGGGAAAAAAAAGGAAAAAAGAAAAAAATAGCCACCTTTCTGAATGGAGGTTATTTTTACATCTCCCTTTATTCAAATGGCGCCCACAGAAGGGTGCTGCATTCTCAAAGGAGGTGGTTAGCCTCTTCAAAGCCACTTGCCACTTAAAAATAATAAAAACTTTGCCATTGGAGTAATGGCCAATCTAATTTGGTTCTGTTCAGCTCTGCTTGAAAGTTTCTTTTGCAGTCAAAGAATCATGGCACATTCATTTTGGTTAGGTAAGCAGTGAATGAAATGGTAGGCAAATGGGAATGTTTTAAAAGAAAGTTGTTCCCTTTTCCAGCTGTACGGGAGGAGAGCTCCCTGGGAGGACCCTGCCAAATGGGTAATGGACACGTACCCATGGGCAGCCACCCCACAGCACCACGAGTGGCCTCCTCTGCTACAGCTGCGACCTGAGGACGTGGGGTTTGATGGCTACTCCTTGTCACGGGAAGGCTCAACCAGCAAGCAAGTTCCAGTGAGTGATGCTGAAGGAGATCCACTGGTAAGCTTCTCCTTTCTGAGACAGTGAAACTGCCTGGTTTCCCTTAGTTAAGGGGACCTAAAGCAGGAGTGAAAAGATAACGGAACAGCAGAACATGTTTTAGCTTTCACTAGCTCACGTATACAGGTACAGGCATCATTTCCAACTCAGTGATTCTGTGGTTCTAAATATCAAGCTAGAGATTTGTACCTTCAGATTAGCCTAATTCAACAGTTCTGTATGCATTTCCATGTGTCAGAGCAAGAGGGGGGAAGGATGCTTGCAGAACCTTGTGGACTAATCATAGAATCGTGCAATGGCCTGGGTTGAAAAGGACCTCAAGGATCATCTAGTTTCAACCTCCTTGCTGTAGGCAGAGTCCCCAACCACCAGGCCAGGCTGCCCAGAGCCACAACCAGCCTGGCCTTGAATGTCTTCAGGGATGGGGCATCCACAACCTTCTTGGGCAACCTGCTCCAGTGTGTCACCAGTGTGTCACCACCCTCTGAGTGGGTCAGTTCAATCTCTTCATTTTTATCCTTTCTGGAAAAGCATACAATTCATGACTAATTTGTATGTTGCCATAGCATGTTTTAAATGTAATTCCTCTTTTCAGATACACAGGAATAATTACTCCAGATGTCTGTTCCTTACCTTTGCAATGTGCTGGCAAAGTGAATGCAGATGTGATTATGATATAGAGTTGATACTGTTTGTACCCTCAGAATACAATAATTGTGTGCTTTTTTGCCTCTGTAGATGAACATGCTAATGAGACTGCAGGAAGCAGCCAACTACTCAAGTCCCCAGAGTTATGACAGTGACTCTAACAGCAACAGCCATCACGATGACATTCTCGATTCATCTCTGGAGTCAACGTTGTGATCTTCATCGGATAGAAATAGGGCATTTCCATGATTGCTGTCCCACTTGATGAGAATCCCAATCAGAAACTCATGAAAGGAACGTGTTCCTGGGCTGGGCTGGTATCTCAGTATTAGAGCTGCAATAACAAGAAGACACTTAGAGTCAGTCTTGAACCTGGGTGCAGGCAACCCAAGCAACCTTTGTATTGTTTTTCTTCTTACAACGATAAGAGCTGCACTATTCCTTTGTTTTCTTCTGTTTAGTTGCTGTAAGCTCTCATGCCTAAGATACTGAAGATGCTAAAAATAGTCATCGTTACTAAAAGAAAAAACAGTTAAAGGGGGTGGATTTCACAACTATGAAGCAAACAGCTTTGTGCCATGTAGAGAAGGAGAGGGGAGAGGAAATTTTTGCCTATGCTGCTTTTGACCAAACACATTTAGGTGAGGGCTGGACTTTTACCAATCAGCTTTGCAGATTAAACTCAGCTTTGTATAGTTCTGGTGCTATAACAATACTGCTTGCCTTGGTATAATACTCCATAAAGGCAAAGCTGCTAAACAGGGAAGTTTAAATAACTATAATAAAAGGGGGGGAGGGGGGAAGAATGAAAAGAAAAAACACTGCTCTCCTTGCCAGTCTGAGACCTTGGCTTTCTTTTGTTATGTGTTTGTAAAGATAGACATATATATAAATAGGAATATATAAAAGTATATATACAGTCTGAACAAATCAGGTTTTTTCCAGCACTGTGTAACCATCAGTCCTACTACTGGTTAACTATCAGGTGGCCCTCTGCTGGGCAGGGCCCAGTTCTCCTCCACATCCTTCTGTGATGCTCAGTTGACTTCAGCTGGGGGGAGTTTCCCTCTTCTGCAGAAGTCAGCACAAGTCCTACAGCTCTACAGGACCTGAGGGAGCACAGGGGCATCCCGTGAGCCCTGTGTGCGCAGGGTAGGTAGCTACACCCCTGAAGGGATGGTCAGACTTTCAGTTCTTAATTCGTGCCATGAAACGTTACAGCAGTTTTCTAAAAATGTTGGGTTTTGTTCAGGGTTTTTGTTCCTGTCAGCACAACCATGAATGGATTAATTACAACTCAGCTCTGTGACAGTTCCAAGTGCTACTGTGATGACCATGTTTCCTCCCATGGCTTTTCTTTTTAACTGCAAAAAAAAAAAAAAAAATAGTATTCTAGCAGGAAGGAAGGTACTGTGTCTTTTGAGTTTACCCAGGCCATGCTTTTGAGTTTTGGCAGAGCTGTGAACCTGGTTTTATTTCTCCTCCTCTCCGAATATGCACACCTATGCTCTCAGCGTTAAGGCTTTGTACTTCTGTTGGGGAACAGGAGCACCTCACCAAGAATTGCACTTTCCTCTCCGTGGAAGCTGACGCTCACACCAGCAGCCCCACCAAGCCAGCTGCACTGGGCTGTACCTCAACACAACACCATTCCTCACTGTTGGCCTGTACGAGCCTTCCCAGCTATCTTTTGGTGCTGAATTTTGAAGCGATGCCTTATTTTGTACTAATTTTTTTTTTATTATTAAATTAGTGCTGTATATTCTGGGATTTTATTTAAATAAACAGGGCTAAGTCATCTCTTGGAATATTGTACATTGCTGTGAATATGGTTTGGACAAGACACTAGAATTGGTCGCAATGTGACAAAGAGAAAGGAGGGGAATGATAACTTTTCAGGTTCATATCAATCTGCAGCTATAAGTCCTTGAAGAGCTCTTTTATCCATGCAGGAAAAGAAAAAAAAAAAAAGATTTTCAACTAGAATAAATGCTGTCACTATTAAATTACAGAAATGTGCTGGTGTTTGTCAATGTACAGAAAGAAAACTCATTATGAACACTTCTTTAGGAGCCTGTTAATCCGTCTGGGTTTAAAGTAATGAAAGAGACAAGTTCATGCTCCTGGGACTCAGTTGGAGAGGATAGCTTGATGATACCTCATTACTTCCTGTAACATACCTGTGCTTACGTTGTCTTACTGAGCTGGTCTTGAATCTGCTCCTGTTACAACTTCTAAGTGCTGATGACTCTTTTTTTAATTATTATTTTAAAGAAAAGTATTGTAAAAGAAAAATTAAAATATTTTAATGACGGGGGGGGGGGGGGGGGGAGGGGGGAAAGCTTGCTGTTGTTGCCATTTTTAACTCTCTGAACTCTATTTCATTATGTCACTGAATGAAGTACCAAGGGCTCACTCAGCCAGTGTTCCTGATGTGGTCTTGGTACTGTCCACATGGGATGTGTCTGTATGGAATTAAACGCATGGCATGCTGGTGATGACTTACAGACAGGTTGATTTTTCCAGTAGTCCTGACAGTTCTGCCTCCCAGCACTGACCTACCTGCTACTACTGTGAATCTTGATGCCTAATCCTCCAACTCAATCCATGCAGACACAGCGTGTGCCTGTTGCAGGGCTAGGGCTTTCAATGGACTTAATATCCTAGAAAACATCTCAGTTAATCTTTAACTGAGTTCTGTAAGACATGTTTATAACGGTGTTTTTATTTGCGGGGAATGGGGTGCTTTTTTTCTCATGTTTAATCCTGTGCTTATGCCCAGGAAGGAATTTCTGTTATTATTTGGTATTGATGCTAGTTTGGGTTACAGTGAAGGGCAATGTGGAGTGGGATGCTCGTCCTCAGCATCACAGGATTCAGTGTCTTTCTGAAACTTGGGGAGGCAGGTTTACCCACAGTGCACACATCAAGTGCACACAGTGCACACATCAAGACTTCAGTCTTTCTCTAAGTGACTTTCGCCTCACTTAAGGCTTTTTCAATGACACTTCCTTTCCTTTTGCCTTTTTTTTTTTTTTTTTTTTTCCTACAAAGTTGGCTTGTTTTAAAGGAGAACAACAAGGGAAAAAAAATAATGAATTTCTATGCAACATTCACGTTGTGTTAAAAACTGAAAATATAAATCATTTTCTTCAAAACTGCCAAGAGTGATACAGGCCATAAATGAGATGTGGTTTATCTGGGGAATGGGAGGGCTCATCTTTTTGTACATTTTGGAAGAAGCAAACTGGTATTTCATTGTTGATGCTTAACTTCGATATTATGTGTATGAAACCTTGTCTGAATGTGGCAATTTTCTTTCAAGAAAAAAAAAAAAAAAAAAAAAAAAAAAAAAAAAAAAAAAAAAAAAA